CGACTGCTTTTGTCGGCTTTCTCTTTTGTCGGGCCTCTTGCTATCCGACTGCTTCCCAGTATTACAGAGGTCGGTGGCCTGAATATAGGATCCGCCTCCATCATGGCCTCTTGGAGGGTGGTCACCCTTTTTCTAACAAGGTCAAATTTGAAGGTCAACCCATCCTTAAGTCCTCTGAAAAAATCAGTATAGGCCACCTCATCCGGCAGCCCTTCTATCTGAATCCTCATCAGGTTAAACCACCTGATGTAGGAACGAAGTCCCTCCTTCTCTCCCTGCTGTATTGTCCCCAAGTCAAGGGTCGTCTTCTTAGCAGGAATGTTCATTGCAAAATTGGAGGTAAACAAGTAGGCCAATGCCCTTTAATGTGGCTGGGAAGCACTTACACCATGTGGTATCATCCAACCCTTGAAGGTACATAAGGTTGGTGAACGCCATCAAATGATCCTCTGGGTTTGTAGTGCCATTATAGGCTCCTACCAACACATTTTTTACTTTGGCCGGCTGGGCGACCTCAATTATCTCTTTGGAGAAGGCAAACGGCTATTCTCCAAGTCTAAGCAACCTAAGTTGTCAGTCCAACGACTGGACATTCCTTGCCGCCTGTCCTCTAAAGGGAGTAGGCTGCATGAAATATTGGGGTTGCGGTACGTATGGATGGGGTTGCACATACGGTGCCGCCTGGTTTTTCTGAGAGCTGCACCGGTGGGAAGTACCGCCTGTCTGGCTCTCATAATTTGAGTTCAAATACCTCAAGGAGGTATTGTGTAAACTATCTTGAAAATCAGACGTTGAGGCCGACTCTGATAGTCGGTCAATCTTCTTCTGCTCTAGCAACATTTAAGCATCAGAATATGTTTTCTTCGACCCGTCCGACTGAACATGACGGATGGGCTTTCTCTTCCCTGGAGAGGGGAAGTGATACTCAGTTAGATCGATCACTGGTGGCTCCCACTCCCTAGGCTTAGGGTAAGGAGTTGCCTCCCGATCCTTTACAGGCTTCTTCCTCCCAGATTAGGAGGATCTTCTGGCCGACTGTTCCTTTGGTGGAAAAGTCGTCCTCTTGTTCATAAGCTTCTGGATCTCCCCTTTGAAGCTATTCATGAAGGTCATGAGTTCGCTTCTAGTGATGGGGGCAGATCCCTTGGCCGCCTGGTGATGCTCAGGCGGTGGGCCTGCTGGTTTATTGGATTGAGCTTGGCAGTCCTCTCGTTCCCTCCTTTCGGTGGGACGGGTGCATCGAGCTCTTAAAGTCCCATCAGAGGCCGTATGTGTCTCAGCTCGACTTCAAAGTCATTGTCAGTGTCCTGGTCCGTCTGAACCAAGGGATCGTCCATGGGACGCTTGTCACTTTGAGTCGGTACAGACTGTGATGCCATCTCGAAAGTACTCTCCCCACAGACTGCGCCAAAATGTTTCGGGGTTTTCTGATGTCCTGCGGGAGAGTTACAATTTCGGGACTGGTATCCTTGCGCTTGTACCTGCAAAACAACGGAGACTCCGGGTGGTGGGAGCTCCGCCTCCGATGATTAAGTTAGTACTTGTATGTGGAGTAAGAAGTACGAAAAATTAAAGGTGGGGATCTGGTTCCTCAAGGGAGGAGTGGTCAATTTGTTTAGACTTCTCTAGGTGAGAGTAATTAATTGCTTAACCTTCTTTAATGAGGATTAATTAGAGTATTTATAACCTTGGGAAGCATGACCAACTCTAGGTTTAGGTCAACCTAGAGCTGATTGGGCTTTTCCCGGAAGATGGGCCTAGGTGGCCATTTTCCTAGGTGGCAAACAGCAGGCCACTTGGCGTGGCTTGATTGGTCCATGGTGGACAAATGGTTGTGTGCCACGTGGCAGACCCTAATAGGTCCCAATAGGGGACACTTGACAGGTCCTGATTGGTCCACATGGCGTACACTAATTGGACGGGGGAAAATCCCCTAATCACTAGTGCCTTGATTGTTATAGGACAAATATCTCATTTAATGACTAACTTACAAATTTAAATAAATATGAAAATAAAAAATCTAAGTAGATAAATCACATCATACATAATTGAAGAATGACACGTGGGGCATGCCGCCCTTAGTGGGCACTCAAAGTCATAAATTAGCATGAGCACAATAATGTTGCACCACCACCACTAAATTTATTTCAAACTTCTACAAGGACTACACTATAATTTACTCCACTTCGTATAACATAAAGTTTTAATTTTTGAAGTGACCAAATTCCTAAAAGCGCCTAAAATTAGAAGTGAAAACATATCAATAAAACAATTCAAATGTTAAATATAAAGTCTAAATAAAAGTATTTCATATATATGGCTGCTCAACACTAGTGATTTGAGCATGGCCGCATGGGTCAAAAGTGGAATAATAATGATGTGGATATATGTTCTGTTGTATTCAAGATTTCTTCCTGAAGGGGTTAAACGAGGGAGAGGGAGACATAAAATGACTTGGTTGGAAAGAGAAGGAGACCATGGACGATTTTTCCTTGGTTCATCGGCAATGTCTGCCACACCTATTTTCTTGCGAATAACCTCATTTTTTATTCCATCTCTTAAAGTGTTCCCACACATCAACTTTAACATGCGCATCTCCGTAACCTCCATCTTTTTAATGTGCTTCTTCTTAGAAGCCCAACATTCTGTACTGGTCTTATGGCAGTCCTGTAGAATTTCCCTTCAATTGTAAGAGAATGCTTTGGTCACATAACACTCCCGTGGTCGCTTTCCATTTATGGCACCTCGACTTAATCCTTTAGGCCACGTCTTGATCAATGTCACCATATTTCTGGATGATCGACCCATGATACTTAAAACATTTACTCATGGTCAATTCCTTTCCATCCAAACTTACCACTTCATCACTTGTCCCCCTTTGAGTACCAAAGCGACATAACAAATATTCAGTCATACTCCAACTTAGCTTAAACCCTCTAAATTCCAACCTTTGCCTCCATTGCTCCAACATGGCATTAACCCCATCTTTAGTTTCATCCACCAAAACGATATCATCCGCCAAAACGATATCATCCGCAAATAACATACACCATGGAACCTCATCTTGAATTGTTCTAGTAACTTCATCTAGATTCGTTGCAAAAAGAAAAGTGTTTAATGCAGACCCTTGATGCAATCCAATTGTGATAGGGAAATCTTTTGTCAACCCTCCACATGTCCTCACATTTGTTGACACATCCCGATACATATCTTTAAAATAATCAAAATTATTAATGGTCATAATTGTATGTCGGCATATGTGAAAGGCAAAGTGATGCACGAATTGAGAAACTAAGGAAGTAGGACACTCTGATTTTTGTTGAGGCATGCAGTTATAGGTGGGACTGTGTAATATATGTCATGTAGAGATTTTACCATGGCAGCAGTTTTATGCACTGCTTGTTGCCTTAGATAGTGGCCAATTTTGTGCTTTTTTACATGCAGCAGTGTCTGTAACATTCCCTTTTCCTTCTAAGAGAGAGTGTAAACTTTATCTTGTTTTGATGTTAGGATGAATGCAAGAGATTGCGCCAGAGTATAAAATGTGGACTTATCAGCAGGATGACAGTGGTAAGGCTATTTGGCTCAACAAGAGGATTAAAATGCTTGGACTTCGTATGCTACAAAGATGAATTATTTTCTTTCAGGGTGATATTCTGGAAAAGGCGAGGGAACTGCAGGAAGTCAGAGTGACTGATGTGAGTAACTAAGCACCTTCCTCTCTATTGAATTTGAGTATTTTGCTTTATGTGGGTTATGTTGTGTTTCCTGAAGCTTTGTTGCTTGCTTCTTCGCTGCCTTAGGTCCTATTTTGCCAAAAGCGCCTCTTATAGTAGCTTCAAACTGTCATAGTATCTTTTAGGTGTTGTACTATTGTTCGGGGTAGTTGTTACTCTATTATAGGTCGTTTTTCAAAGTTGTTAATTTTGTATTCAATAAAACTTATAGATAGATTAGTAAAAAAACAATAATCTTTCTAAGTATATTTTTTGTCTTTAAAAGCAACCCTAAGGCTAAACAATACTGTTGACTTACTGTGGAGCTTTATTTACTTTATTGTTGTTTGGTATTATATATGGTTTATTTACTATATTGTTGTTGACAAGGTAAGGATTTGTAAAGATGGAGTGGCTATTGTTTGAACCTGTGTGGTGGTCCTTGTTATTTAGTTTGTTCATCAACACCTGTTCAGTGAGGTGTTGTTCAACTCTTGTGGAGTTGAAATATAAAAGTTTATTATTTGCTTATCTGTATTATATATTCACAAGGCTCAACAATTAATACTTTTGCCATAACTTCTCAGTGGCTGGAAGCTGAGGTAGTGAGGCTTAGTCATCTTCGTGATCGAGCTAGTGAAACTGGACGTAAGAAAGAATATCCTTTTCATAGTACTATAACATTTGTTATGCACTTGCAATGTTTGTAAAGTAACTTGCGTTTCAATTCATTATATAGTCTGTATCTTTTGGTATTATCTTTCTAATGTTTAAATGGCATATATGGTGTACATGTTACAGACTTTTGACTAGATTGCCAATATTAAATTCTGTTAATTATTGAAGCTTATTTGAGGAGGATGTATTTAAGGCAATTAGGTTTAGAGAGAGGGGAGGGGTGAAAATGGTGAGAATAGAATCTAGATGGAAAGCTAGATTTAAACACCAACACTAAAGAGGATTAGCTTTGTTTAGTCATTAAGTCTATATTAAGACAATATTAATCTTTGATATGTCCTCAAGCAATTTTTTCAATGTTAGATTGTGTTATGCTAATCCATGCTCATTGAGAAAATGCACACTACGGTAGATGGTTTATGTAATTTGTTTTAATAACAGATGGACATATTATAGATTTAATTTCGACCTCAAACTCAAGCTACGAATAAAACATTTACCGATGTCTTAGGCTTCTCTAAAAATCTCAAGATTATGTGGTCAAGACTTACCTAGTTCATACAAATGAACAATTACATTTACTATCAAAAATTTTCATTGTCATGCTTAAATGGTCAAATGAATCGATAATGCGTGCATCCAATCAATAATGTTTTTTTAGTACAAAATGTTGTGCATATACTTTGTACTTAACTGCCTTTTAGCCTTTTAGGTACTTCATCTATAATACCACATACTCCGTACTAATTTCGGACGTACAGGGAATATATAAAGAAGCCTACCAAATGACATGAAACATGATCTTTACCCAAACCAGAACATCTAAACTATCTCAGGGTTCAGACCTTTTCGCCTAATCTCGGAAGCAAAATTTTGATATTATGGATACATGTAACGTATTCAAGCATTTTCGTGTCAACTAGGAGTGACTCTGAGGGGAAGATCATGAAAATCTAATCGAAGAACTTCCAAAGAAAGCAACGACAACCAAAAATGGGGAATCTAGTATCTATGAATGGAAAGGGGAAGTTTTTGCATCAAACTTTATGTTAAGGAGTTGTTCCTGAATTCTCAAGAGTCAAGGTGGTTTCTCATCAAAAGATTATTTCTGTAATAAGGAGTACTATATTGGAGAAAGGCTGAAGCTTGCAGAATTCGTAAGCGTGGCATTCTGAAAACTCTTCATTTTATGCAATGTCCTGCAGTAAGCCGGTAATTACTTCAACAGTCTCAAATGATCTTCAAGACCTCATTGTTGGTTTCCTTGTAAGGCCTGAACAATTTCCTCGGCTCTTGACTGTATGCCTTTAAGGTACTCAGTAAGAACACGCTGCTGGTAAGATCCTCCTTCCTGAACATAGGAAAAATGACTGATACATCTAATAGTACTGGTCATGATGAGGAACTACTGTAAATAAATGAAGTTTTTGCATATACTGCATATATCTACTATCACAAAAATATATGACAGCGAAAAGGGGAAAAGGAGATAGTAAGTGGTTTTTACTTACTGTTCGAATCAAAACTCGTTCTCTTCGTTTATTAAGTACTGCATAAAATTCCTCTGGTGAAATATCTCCTTTTGCAATTGTTAAACCATTAAGCAGCAGCGTGTTCCATTCACTTTCAGGAGCTGCACAAGTACAAAAGTGTTTACGGATTGCTGAAAGCCAAGTGCAAGCAGTAGAGAACTATAATATACATCCCATGCTACCTGGCTTCAACTAAATGCACAGGTCAAGCTAAAGATGAACTTCTTATCAAGCAATGTGGTTCACCACAAAAAATCTAGATGAACTCTGATGGGGTGAAGAATGTAATTTCAGGAAATAGGATTGCGAGTGGTAAAAGCGAAGTTAAGAAGGGAGATTATGCACCCAGTAGGCCAGTAATCAGAAAATTTTCCATGTCTTCCAAGAAAGATTAATGGAAGAAAGGGACATAAGATATTGCAAATCTCCTCCGCGTGGAAACGGAGATAATTCAATGCAAAAAGAGAAAAGTTGTGCAAAAACTAATTAGGAACCAACATTGATAAAAGAGAAGTTACCTTTAATAATAGTCTCAAGGAATTGCTCCGCCTTCAAGATTTCATTACCTGTACAGCAACACGTAAAGATTCCAATTACTCGTTATTATAACAAATAAGCATAAATTTTCGCTTACTGCCTCCTCCAGTGGTCCTAAGACAGGGATACAGGATCAATATACAAAGTATTGGGAAGCTGAATTTAATACTTAAGTAACACTCGAAGAAGATAATTAAGCAATCCTTTTAAGTTAAGGTTACTTCTAACTTCTCAAGCAACTCTTCATACAAGATTAGATTTTCCAAATCTAAGCTACTGAAACAAGAAATTTGTTTTTGTTAGCATCTTCGTCGGGTATTAGTAACACTAAGTTCTGAGTCAACCTAAACTTTCACTGAAGATAGGTTCCATACTTCCATATAAGAGTCTGACTTCCGTTGATATATATGTATATAAAACAAATTAATTGACGCCTAGTATTTGGAAGGTTATTCTTCATCAATAAAAAAAATAAAAAATAAATAAATAAAAATAAAAAAAAATGGTTTTTCCAAATAGCTAATAACAACAGATCAGAAGTGTAGGTGAGGTACATACCTTTTTTAGCATAACTACGTTTTGAAAGATTTCTGGAGGCATAAAGCTGTAAAACTTTTTGCAGCATAGCCACAAGTCCTGGCTTGTCCCCATCTTCTTTTGACTGCAAGAAAAGATGAAAGACTACAGACTACAGCTTCCTGAGCTTTCCCATGATATTGGCAGAATATAAACATCAGCCTATTTGAAAGTTTGAAACCTCAAACCACAGAGGACTAAACGGTTCTCTTATTATACATGAATATTTCAGTTTGTCACTTTTTGATACATCTTATTGAGTTTCAAAGGTCACACCACTTCATGTGATAAGCTGGCCTCAATGACCATGATGAAGTTGTTGGTTAAGATTGATTTAGCCATATTCCAAGGCCCAGTTCTTTACCACCATATACAAGAAAATCTAAAGATATCACATAATGAAAGGATTACTCACTTGCCGCAGTTGTGCATTGACTTCTGAAAGGAATCCTTCATCTAAATATCCTTCTTGTTCTCTTTGATTTAACTCCTGGTGAACACATACAAAGAAGCTGAATAATCTCAAATTAACCTCTTCTGAATTGCATGCACGATGAAATTACAATAAAAACTAAAAAAAATTTAAACCCTTAAAATTGTCAAGAAACAAGATATTTTCAATTTACTTACAATCTCAATAGCTAGATGAATCTGTTAAAAAAATATACTGTAGATACTACACTTAATATGATAAAGCAACTAAATTTCGAAATAAATGCAATGGACACAATATATCAATAAGCACAGTGTCAAAATAACAAAAAATAATCAGTATAAAAGAAGATGATTGAACATGCCTGTTCCATCAGACTGAGAGCTTCGGGGTCTCTTGGTGGCCAGGTAAGCTCTTGATCTTCATCCACCACATGTTTGAGGATTGATTTTAAAACATCAGTAGCTGACTCAATTTTTTCCTTCACAAAAGAATATTGTATAAGATCAAGCACTGAACAATGTGACTGGATTGAATAGAAGGGTATCCCAATTAATACAAGACAGTACATTGGTTTTGTGAACAAGACGGTCTACTGTACTCATTAGCGTTGATGCCAATTCTTCATAATCTTTCTGCATGCAAACAAAGCAAGGTTATTTTGCATGAAGATAAGATTCCACAACTTAGTATTCCACGGAAAAATAATGACAATAATGAAGAAACCATGCTTTATCATCTTCTGATTTGCAGGTATCAGTTCTGGCAGCAAGCCGAATCCAGAAACCCTCATTGAAAGCCAGAACATTTTCAGCAACGAGCTGTGGTAGCTGTTACAAATAGAACCAATATCAGCTAATGAGAAACTGTCAACAGAGACACAACTCTTGAAGTGGTGGAGTTCAAACAATCACTTAAGGCAAATTGGCTAATAAAACTATGTACCCTGAGTGTGCATAACATTTTTGTTAGAGCAATGATTTCTCAAGTACACTTGCGCCAAAGAAGTGAAAGAACCTTTATAAAAAAAAATGGCTTATCCACTAAACTCATATGCAAGCAACCTCACCTACCTAATGGAAACGCTACATACATGTACCTCCCTAGTCCCAGCCAACGATACTACTCCTACTCGATTATAAATGTTACAAAATTCATGATTCTTCAGTGTATTGCCAGATAATCAAACCATAACATAGTCAGCTAATTTATCAACATCCCAAGTCCTATGAGTGGCTATATCTCTATGAGGCACTCCGCACACGAGCATAGGATTTTGGCTCCGACATGAATTTGCTTCAGTTCCAGCATAAACTAGGACTCCAGAACTAAAATATCATGCAAAAAGTATATCTTAAACATAGCAGAATTACTACAAATAGCAACCTAACACAGTAATACTAAGAAGATTGTAATCCACAAAGAGGGCAAGCAAATTATGCATAAGAAATCCTCACTTCCTTCGGATTAGCTTCCCTTAACGTATCGATAAGCCTATCGACTTCAACAGTCTTCTTGAAAGCTTCCTCAGCACCACCTTGACTGACTGCACAGACCAAATTTCTCCTGTTTTAAATATACCCAAAACAAGGCCTTTTACCATGAAAATGATCACCCATTCAACCATTATAATGCTAAACGTATCAACATACAGATTATTGCACATAAATTAATTATAAACCCCAAAACATTTAATTGAACACAAATTATCAGTATTGGTCAAACATAAGATAATCAAAATAATAATTTTTAAAAATTGTAATCAAAATTGAAATGAATCTTGACTCCAATAAGAAAATTCTACATTAATTTTTAACTAAATCCACCCAATTACATAATTATATACTCCGTAAATAAATTGAATTGAACTAAAATGTGATGAATAAATAAATATATAAAAAAAAAAAAAAAAAAAAAATGGAAGTACCTTTGATTGAACAATGGAGAAGGGAGTTGCTTTATCATTTTATAAAACCTGATTGTTCCATGCTTCCATGATTGACTCAAAGCATGCTGTAATTCCCACAAAATTTCCGCCCCAAAAAAATTAAACAAATAAAAAAAAAAAAAATCAAGCAAGAATTTAGCTAGAGTAAGTTAAGAAATATGCTACATTCATAAGTGAGATAGTGACCTGGGAATGAGAAGAGTAATGCGAAGAAGAGATGGTTGAAGAACAGGAGGGTGAGGTGGTCACTGCAATGGATGAAGCCATGAAATGAGAGAGAACAAAAGAGGAGAGAATGACCAGAAATTTTTTGAGTGGTGTAGAGTTTGTATTATGAGGCATATGGAACTTGGGTGTTTTTTTTGGGTAAGAAGACGAATCCTAACGGAGTACTAGACTAGGATTAGTCATGGATAAACCAACTTAGTTACTCGGGTTAGGGTTTATGTCATTGGAAATGGAGGAGGGGGGGGGGAGATATGGGAATTCTCTGAAAAATGTTATTGGTCGGAATTGAACTTTTTGTGAATAATTGTTTAGTAGTTGGTAAAAATAATTTTAGTTACGAGAATTAATTTAATTGTAATTTGGCATGAAAAGTAAAATCCTAATGAATATAGTTATGGAATTTCATCCATAAGTTGTGTTTTTTTTCATAAAGATACATTATTCCTCAATATCACCCTAAATAATGATAATAATTCATGAAGAAAATAACATAAATCGGGTGAATAAGCATTACCATGGATAACTTATCATGTTCTCGAAAAAAAAAAAAAAAAAAAAGAGTTGGTTATGAGTTTAATCGTGTAACATGATTACATTACCATCATGCCTCTCATACTGTGCTGAATTCACAACAAATTTATACCATACTGTGTCAAATCAAATCTAAACGACGTTCGTAATGACCCGACTCAACCCATACCCTACTCTATCATAAAAATCAAATGGTTATACTAGTATGGCAAATTAATTGAAAATGGAAGAGTAAAATGTAAAAAACATTTCACCATGGATAAATTTGTTTAGCTGAGATGGAACTCAACCAACCATCAACAAACTCAACACTTGTGAAGTAAGAAAACGGAGGGAAATTCACTACCCGAAAAAACAGACGAAATGGCGGTAATAATATCTAGCAACTTCTACACCATTACCAATCATCCTCACCTCCATAACCATATCCAAAGAACCTTCCAAATTACCACCAAAAACTCCAATCTCTCTCCTCTCCATCATCATCATCTTCATCATCGCAGATTACGCGCATCATCAAAGCCAAGCGATTACGAAGCAGAAGAACAACGATGGCTTCGAGAAGAACAGAGATGGTTACGAGAAGAACAACGATGGCTTCGCGAAGAAGCTCGCTGGAACTCCGAACGACAATCTTTGTTACGCCAGATTTCTGAATTATCGCTTCAAATCCAACATTTGCAGTCGGAATTGGATGATTTTCGTAATAATCGTTCGAATTCTGCCGATTTTGAGGTCACTACTCTGACTAAAATGGCGGCTCTTTTGGAAGCTAAGAATTCTAATCAGATTCTTGATTTTTCTGGTAGTGAGTCGAATTCTGAGGTAGAATCTGTGAATTTAGATTCTGTTTCTGATGTTTCGACTCTGAATTCGCCGGAAAGTGAGATGAAGGAGGAGACGAAGCCATTAGAGAAGGCGAAATCGAGTTTGAGTTCGAGTTGGAGTACGAGTTTGAGAATTGGATGCGAAGGTGAAGAAGTTCGTGCTATGCAGGTTTGATTGATTTCTCATTCTAAAACCTAATTTTGATTTTAATTTCTTCATTTTTATTTTGAAGTATGATTTGTTAGTTGTTAATTTTATTTATTATATGATTAATTTATGGAATTGTATAAATATGGCAGGATGCATTGATGAAATTAGGGTTTTATTCTGGGGAGGAGGACATGGAGTTTAGTTATTTCTCTACTGATACTGAGAGAGCTGTTAAGACTTGGCAAGTATGTTGTTTTTTTGTGTACCTTATCAACTTTTTTGATCGAAATCGTAAATTTCCATTATAAATTTATAATCTAGAAAGATTTGATGACCTGGTGCTCTTATATTTGAATAACAGCATTGTTTTATTATGCTAAATTTTGCATTGGTTGTGATGTACATAATTTACAGGCTTCAATTGGCATTCGCGAGGATGGAATTATGACTCTTGAGCTGCTTGATCAATTATATGCGCCTCAACAGAGTTCGAGTCCTAAAACACAAGTGAAGGCTGACATCCCAAAAGTGAGTGCTATGGATGACACAGGAATGGTTTGCTTTCTAATATGTGCTGTAGCTGTGAGCTGTGTCTTCTTTCGTGCTGTATATTTGAGGAATCAAGCATTAATGTGTAATTGTGTTACATTGTTGGGAGATTGATTGTTTGTCTGTGTACAAAGAAAAAGAAGCACAATACCTGCTTAGTAGTGTTATAGTGAACATACATTGTGTTTGGTGTTTGAGTGCAGTGTTGAGTATCTGAGTATTGATTTAAATTTCGATGCAAACTACTTGAATAATTTGTTTTTATGGTGAAAGGACAACGCAAATGGGGCTCCTATCAAAGTCAAAGAAGTTGAGCGGACTGTTGTAAAGAAAGAGCCAACTGATGTGGGTATATCTGAACACCGAGTATTTCTTCTGGGTGAGAATCGGTGGGAGGAGCCTTCCAGGCTAAATAAAGGAAATGATAAATTGGGTGGTGGAAAAAGCGCTCAAACATCTGCACCAAAATGCCTCAGTTGTCGAGGGGAGGGTCGTCTATTGTGCATGGGTATGTAGATTATTCCATTTCTCTAGCAAAAAGGTAACCTTTTGGTATAATAATAGGTCCTTAGAGTTTGAGAGTTTAGAAAGCGCACAAGTATGATGCACAATTATTCCACCAAACACTTGAGAATTATTCATTGACATAAGCTGAATTTCCTTTCCACATGTGCTATAATTTACTTAACCACTACCAATACTTGTGAGCTTTGGCTTATCCCCAACAAATCCTACTAGAAGCTATAAGTGAAGATACATAAATATGATGCTAGTAATTCTTAAGCTTCCAAAGGAAATGACTGGCAGGAAAAGCTCTTGCTTAGTTTTTTTTTTTTTTTTTGTTAAACTTGCTTAGTTTTACATGTTATCAATCTTTCTAGCTAAACCCTAGAACCCTTTTCACTGCAGAGTGTGATGGAACGGGAGATTCACAAGTCGAAGAACAGGTTGGTTGAAGTTTCATATCTATTATTTATCTTTATTTGCATGTTTTCTTTGCATCTTATATTCAGACATATGAAGCAGTTTTTGGATTGGGTGGACGGAGGAGCAAAATGCCCATATTGTGAAGGCCTTGGATACACGGACTGTGATTTATGTGAAGGGAAAGGTACTGCCTAGTTGCAGTATGGAATATTTGGACCTTTGCTGTTTTGCCCAACCAGGTACCATTATATAATTTCTCTTATGCTACTGGAGATGTCTGATGAGAGAGTTTGAGTTAAGATTGTCCTTTATATGCTTGATGCTGTTTGAAGCTGCCTTATAACTGCCCCACCCCCTACCCACTTGTACACATCACCACCGCTGTTTTATAATTTTGTTGATGACACTATTTAATACAAAGTTAGGAGTTTTACTTATTGTGCTTGCCTTAGTGGAATGCTATTCAATGATGGAACTACTTAATAAGAAAACTCATCCTATCAGTTAAATATTACACCAATTACACTTTTGCACATCTCAGGTTCTCAATGATCTAGCTTGATCACCTTTATAATTCCTCTATTAGCTGCATTCTTCAGATCCTTAAAGTCCACTCCTCTTCCCCCCCCCCCCCCCCCTTCTCTTTTCCCAGCAATAATGCTGTTGGTTATACCTCTCTCTAGGTTCATTTGAGTGTGAAAGGGTAATTCTCACCTTTTTCAGGCATTTGGTCTTTCTAGGGCTAGTAAGAAATTAAAAGAGTAACATTGCTGAAATATTTGAATGATTAGTTTAAAAATGGCCCTTCCATTACTATAGCAGAAGAATCCACATCTATATATATATTTTTTTTTTTGGTCAAAGAAAATCCACATCTATAGCTAGGAACGAAGTAATTGGATTCAAGACTAATCCTGAGTCATGGAAATTAAACTTATCAGGATGTCTTTGCTCTTCAAAATGCAAGATATGTTCATCATTCAAATACATAAAACTGTAGATAAATATATGTACATGTAATCACATTATTATCTTGTTTTCCTTATTACAACCTGGGTGGTTATTTAGTACTGTTTTAAGTTTATCTTGGTTTGGTAGATGGAGCTGAGCTAGGCTTATTAGGGAGGCACAAATACTAATAATATCATTAGCTTAATTAGGGGCAAGGTGAAGAGATATTACGCTTTATATACGTGCTGATTGCCTGACAGCCTGAGGAGACCAGGAGCTGTCCATGGTCCTCTATAGAAAAGACGCATCAAAAAGATAGGAGCAATGGTAATGAGTGATGAAGGAATTGAAGGGGAGAAACGTTTTGGGTTGGAGATCATTACTACCTAGTCCACATGTACACATGTATATATATTTATTTTTGTTACATCTATTTATGACTGTACCCAACGGAATGTCAGAATAATGAAGATGTCAAGGTCCACTGAAATCAATAGCTGTAGAGATCATGTTAATACTCCATAGTAGAGCTACTACAGCAGTAACATGTTGACCATAAGCTGTTGAAACAAACCCGCCAAAGTTGATTAGATTATCTTGAACATTTCATGCATTATGAATTTTACAACGATACATTTAATGATATGAAATGTGTTTTGTGTATATTGTATACTTTGTCTTATCCAGGTTTGGCTAAAAGGGTTTTTTTTTTATTTGAATTTTTTTTTTTTTTTTTTTTTGGACAAGGGGGGCTAGAAGTTTATGACACGACCATCTTATGAATTCTTACATGATTTTGGTCCAAAAGTAAAGTGTCTAACTGTCATACCAACATTTGAGAGTTGAATATCACACATGGGTATTTGAGAAGAAATTAAGAATCAGAGTGAAGTAGCTGCAAACTAAACATAACTAAGTGGGCTCTGTAACTGGTCAGTCTTCAGATTGCTCTTTTTCTTTGGATGTATATGCTACATTGCTACAAGACCCTATCACAAGTACCAGTACAATTTTGTCGTGAAGCTTGATTAGAAACCTTGACTAAGTTTGTGCTTCCTATGCTTGTTAGATGTGCTGATATTGTTCTCTAAATATTCTTTAAGCTCACAAAATAATCTTCATTGCAGGTATGCATAATTCTCGCAAAATGTGCTGTTTTTGCTACTTCCAGAGTCTCAGTCCCGTAAATATATCATTGTATGGGCTAACTACAATAAGGATTTTCCGTTATAGCTTGTTAACTCCTAAGGTTTTTCCTGGTCCCGTTTCTTTTTGGCTGTCTTTGCTAGTAAAACTAAAAAAAACTGTCTTAAAGCTGTTATATTCCAAGTCTGGAAAAAATGGAGTATATTGTGCTAACTGTGGTTTGGATGCTCCTCAGGTTTACACTTTTATAACTCCCTGTACTGATGTACCAAACTTTATTAAGTCATCAGCAGAAACTTTATATTACAGACTTACAGGTACGTTGTCGATGATCATTTTTCTAGACCATCTTCATCATGGAAGTCCACAATGTCCTACAGGCTTCTTACTCTGGCTTATATCAACTGCCTGTTTCTCTCAGAGTCCGATTCAGCCCATCAAAGTATTAAATTATACTCCATATGCCATAGCCTGATTTGATGCAGCCCATGACTACCATTAGTGTTGTGATTGGTGGAGCTTGGAGAAGAAAAAGATACTCCCGCAGGAAAGATGAACTATAAAGATATGTATGCCCGCAGATGAACTGTTTGTGGGCGATTTCCTTTTCTATGCTCTGAGTTCTGATGTTTTAATAAATCATGTAAAACCAAACTTTAATGCCTTTTACATGATAACGATCTTAAGATAAGTATTTGACGTAAAGGGTTGTATTTGACATAATTAGTGTTGAAGGTTAAGAATCTCAGTCCTGATATTGTTCTTTCCACCTTAAAATTTTGTGTAGGTTTGATAAGTTCACTCTATAGCTAATAAGATTGGAACACCAACTATCGGATTGGATCTCTCATATGATGCTAGAGCAATAGCAACTAGCATAATGTTGAGCTCAAATGTTTGGATTGTTGTTAATGACCAACTTGTCAAGGGTAAATTCATTTCTAATTTACAATGCAAACTAAAATAAGTGTGTGAAGCGCAAAGGGTAGATAACCACATATTCAACCAACATTTAGGTGATATAAGGTTCGAGATTTTGTGATACACATTTGAACCATATTTGAATTATGTGCTAAACACCTTATGTGAACGTGTCACATCATTAGTTGATGGTATCACTTACTTCTAATTTCAGATCAAAGAATGCTTAAAGAAAACTTATTAAGAGTTTTAAGTTTTTGATGTGTAGTTTGTTTGTATTGAGTATACAATAGCACCAACTTGGACTCAAAAGATTTTACCTAGGGACTATCATACGAAGTTAGGTATCCATCCATAAACGACCAAAAGCGAAGAGGTAGGCCCTTTTGCATAAATGAATACTTGTAATTAAATTCCGATCTAGGACGTATCTTGAAACCTCATCCTATCATGATCTTTATGAATTATGAGGAGTTTGCTAATAGCTACGCGACGACAATCATTTAAAGGACAGCCAAAAGTGCATCTCTTAACACATGGAAACAGAGAAATAGAAATTTCAAGAACAAAGCTGTTAAACTAATATTATACGAGTACTTTTATAAGTTGTATTAATAATGCATTATTATTTATTAGTCCAACAAAAGCCAATGAATTTGATTGCTTCAATTTCTCTTCACCTTTTTGGATATCTAAAATAATTTATCTAAATTTTTTAAAGGGTCAAAGATTCCTCTAGATTTCCTCGGTCAAATAATTCATGCAAAAAGGTGTTGTTTGTCTTAGAGTGCCAACTATTAATTAATCTACTTTCTTCCTCTTTTAGGTGTAGCAAATTTCACCAATGTTTTCATGGGTTTCCATTTAAAGGGTACATGTTTAACTACAAGCAATTTTATTTTTTTCTTTTAAGGGGGATTTGTTCAAGCAATTAATAAATGATTTGTTTGGAATATTTGGTGAAGCTTAATTATGTCACAATGATAATGATTTTGACAACCGTGAAGTAAATTCGATAAATTTAAGTAAAAAGTGTACTAAAAGTATTGAACCTTTTTATAAATGAAATATCTAAAATAATTGTTGTATACAATACAGAGTACTCCCTTATGGTTTTAAATTAGAGTAGAAAGGGTAGAATTATTATAGACAGAATTTATTAAAGTCGAACATTACTCAATAGTTCATATGGCGTAAGTGACAACATGTCCATGTTACAAGGTTTATCATTAACTTGTTAAAACTTTCTTCTTATCTTTGTGGCAAAAGTTAGTACTACGTACTTTGTTTATGGTATGTACTTTGTTTATGTTATAGATTGTGGTCAAAAAGCAAAAGTTTGTCCTTTCCCCTAACAACCCACAATCGCTCATCAAGTCATTAGTATGAACTTGCTTCTACACATCCATATTTTGATTATGTTAATATACATCGAACCATGAGTAAAACCTTGATGCATGCATTCATTCATTCATCTATATATTATAATCCATTAATACTTTGTATTTGTGGACGCCCAAAACTGCATGCATCCGATCATATAATCCAATTCGTTTTCAATAATTCCTACAATTAAAAAACATGCGTAAGAGTAGTTATTATTGTTGTTCCAAGAAAGCGGCAAGCTAAAAAAATTCAAAGATAAGGATTTCACATGATAATGCTTGCTCTCAATGAAGAATTTGGTTGATTGAAAGTCCAATCTTGTTGTGTCACTTACAAAAGGGAAGTTTTGATTATATATTTGACGTAGTCACCTAGGTAAGCAGCTATTAATTCCAAAAGTAGAAGGGTTCTATCAATTCTACGTTATTGCCACTTCAATAATAATTACGTACATACTCCCTCGTCCTAAAAATGATTTATGTCATCGTATAAACATGTAACATAATTTTAAAAATATTCTTTTATTTATGACGTATGTAAATGTAATAAATCAAAGAAAAATAATAAGATACTCGTACTATATTAATTAATTAACAAGAAAATGAGACAATTTTCTATAGACGAAAACAAATAAATAAAGGTGCGGTGTACTGTTTACAAGGATATGGACGGAAGCAATAATTAAACCTTTACAAGCAAAATGGTAGAAGAAATTGAAAGGCAAATAATACAAAAATACCCATAAAATGGTACGGATAATACAGCATATATGGGTCCAATTTCAAAATTTATTTTGTTTTTTTTTTTTTTTCAATTTTAAATTGTTCATGAAAATCAAATAAAAAAGAGAGTAATACAGTATGTATTTATGTGCAGTGGTCCATTATGTATTATGTAGCTATACTATTAATTATAGCGTTTGTTAATCAACAAGTTACAGCTAACAAGCTTACGACCAATATATCGCTTTTCTGTCTATATGTCTAATTGTCTATTGAAAACTCCATATATTATACATATCGTCTAATGACTCTAAAAATAAAAAATAAAAAAAAAATAAAAACTCTAAGACCAACCTCACTATCACATACACTCATTGGAAAATAAATAATCCACTCTTATTAATAAATATGTTCTTCCCTCTTCGACATATACTGTTTTTCTATCAAACGAAGTATAAAATAAATTGAGACAAGAAGTTCGAACATGATAAGCTAATAAGGTTTTAGGGTTATAACTCTTATAAGTCTATATACGAAGTAATTCAAAATAAAGTTAACCAGATTTTTCATTTTCTAAAGATTTTAGGATCGGATGAAGTATTACTAAGCTTGTTGCGGCTTGTTTCTCCTCTTGTTGTGGGAAGGAATTGAATAGGTATTGTCTCATATCAGAAGATTGTAAAAGGTAGAGTTGGGATCAATTCAAATTTGTTTTCAATTATCTAAACTAATATTAATGAAGCATTTTATTAGCAATACTAGTGTGTGGTTTATATACTCATCAAAACTATGACCAATGTTCCATTGTAGTATATTGTAAAGAAACAATTCATCAAAACTCAGCTAAACACTTGAGAACCTTACTAATCAAGTTACTTGAGCTTTTTCAATTCCAACAGCAAATCCAAAGGTAGCAAACAAATGAGCTGGCACATTTGATTATCTAATTAGCCTATCTCCCCACTCCAATTAATTATGTCAAAAGATGGGCTCTACCCAATTGGGATCAATTAATTCAATGAAAATGCAACATAATTCCGTCTTTATAAAATATAAATTCTTTAAACATAAGGGCTTATGAGTTATTAATTCACTTATGCTAAGCTAATATGAACTGTGAGTCTGATCTTTACAAGTGTTAAGAATCAAAGTAAAGATAAATTCCTCTCAAGCACGCACTAGCAATGAGACTCGAATATAATACTTTCGACTCACCTAATGAAACATCTATCATTCGATCAAATCAACCACTAGACCAAACCTTTCTAAATATACATGAGAAACTCATATCAATAAATACAAACATATAAAGAACTTCACCATGCCAAAGAACTCTGGTATAGATCATAACTATCTTTTAGGCTTTTAGATTTTTGATAGATAGCAAAATCTTCCCATTGGTCCACTTGCTCTTTTTCCCCTTGTCTTTTTCCATTTTGTCCTCCTCACATTAGTTAGTATATAAAAGGAAGAGGAAAACAAAGCAAAAAGAGCAACAAAAAGAAATAAAGGAAACCCATGTTTTGTTATCTCACTTTCTTTGTCTAGAAATTTCCTTGCCCATACCCTTTTTCTACAAAAAAAAATCAATAAAAAACCCCTTACTAAAGAAATAAAGCCCTAAATTTAATTGGCCTAACTCAAATCTTTTTTCTTTGTTGGGTATCTTTCAATATATTCCTTTATTACTTACTCAAAAATAAATTGAAAGTTCATACTTTATTTAGTTCATAATATTACACTTTCTAAGATTTTTGATACACAAAAATATATTTTTCTTTTGTAAAAATCGAAAAGAGAGAAAGAAAAAATGAAGATTCAATGTGATGTGTGTGGGAAACAAGAGGCCATAGTGTTTTGTACAGCAGATGAAGCAGCACTTTGTGAAGGGTGTGATTATAAGGTGCACCATGCCAACAAGCTTGCTAGCAAACATGCTCGTTTTTCTCTTCTTCTTCCTTCTTTCAAAGATGCTCCTCTTTGTGATATTTGCCAAGTAATTTTCTTATCCTTTTATTTAATTAAGTTGATTATTATTCCAAGGAACAATACCGAGACCTTATCCTTAACAACTTAAAGCTCGTTGAAATGATGTTTTTTTTTTATTTTTTTATTATTTTTTTTTTGCAGGAGAAAAGGGCATTCTTGTTTTGCAAAGAAGACAGGGCAATATTATGCAGAGAATGTGACATACCAATACATAAAACAAATGAACACACACAAAGTCACAATAGATTTCTTCTCACTGGGGTTAAACTCTCAGCTTCATCAGCTACATACCCTACTACTCCTCGTTCATCTACCTCGTCCGAGCCGAATTCCATGTCACAAACTAGATCATCGGTTACAATCTCTAGCTATGATCATGACATGTTTAACCAACACAACGCAACTCCATCATCAACAACGACGACGACAAATAATTATGATCAAATTAATGAAGAGGGTATATCAGAATACCTAATGGAGACTTTACCTGGTTGGAGAGTAGAAGATTTGCTTGACTCTTCTTCAGCTTCTCAAAATTTTTGTAAGGTTTGCATTTTAGTTTTTTTTTGTTTTTAATAGATAAAACTAACTTTCAAAAATTAAAAAATAAAATATCAACAATTATAAGCTACAATTATGAGCACATAATACTTGAGGTTAATCAACAAAAATTGTGCATGCAATAGAATTATAGGTTAGAATTGAATTTAGCTAGTATAAAGAATTTTGTTAAGCTATTGACTGTTGACTCCTAGTTGCAAGTTGGTACTATAATTCCAAATTTCCAACATTGTTTAGCTGTTATATGACCCAAATCATTAATATTTCTTATGACTTTGCACTTGTACCATGAGAAGGGAGGAAAGGGTAAGGGGTCCCCAACACAAGTGGTGAGCCTGAGATGCAGAGTGGATTCCGTCTTAGGGTATGATTGCATGAAAACAGATATGAACATAGATATAGGTAGGTATGAATGTATGATACATGTTATTGAACATATATATCGGACGTATAGGTATTATACAATTGTGTCCATGTGTTGTATGTGGGAGGCCTTGGACCTTGGTATAATTCAATACTAGATAATACTCGTACATATAATAAAGGCTTTTTATTATTGCGTGTTAAGTGGTATACTACTATAAGACATTAGAATTTCCAAATAAATACAGAGTATAATTCACAGCTTCATCTTTTATTAGATATATCCAAAAAAAAAAATGTTTTATACTATCTTTTAGTGCTATCTAAATCTAACACCAAAAAAAAAAAAAAAAAATAAAAAAAAAATAAATAAATAATAATAATAATCTGATTCTTGTGTTGTTTTTGCAGATTTCTGACTACACAAATATAAATCCAGTAAATACAAACCAACAAGTTGAGGAAAGTATGGGTGGATTTGGTTCAGAAAGTAACTCAGTAATGTGGGAACTTCATCAACAAGCTCATAATGTTGGACCACTTGTTTCTTCCCATATTCCTACTAACTTTCATCAGAGATAATTTTTTACATTTTATGGGAGCCCATCAACATGATATAAAGGTGTCTCCTACTGTCAAGAAAATGCTGCAATTTTGATTCTTCAAGAAAAAAATATCATGCAATTGTACATTATCTCAATTTCCTCATTAAATATCATATATTTATGAATTATTTTACTTATAAAAATTTTGATTTTTAGTGAAGTAAGTTTGATGATAGATTGGTATACTATTAGGACTACTGAGGGAGTTTTAATCGATTGAGAGAAGATACACTCTTTTAAGTCCGTGAAAAGTTACCAAGAATCATAACCATAGACATTGTGGAGTTACTTCCTATGCATATTACGAAGTACATATTTATAGACGCTTTTCCATTACTATCATTTATTACCCGCCTACCAAACGGATCATTAGAGTTAGGGAACTAGTGATGAGTAGTAATAACATTCAAAACTATATAGGTAATGAAAATTTATACGTAGTACTACAAAAACTATATTGGTAATGGAGATTTATACTACACAATTGGTTTGACTCATAAAGTCATAAGGTAACTTGTTTATGCATTAACGGCGCTGTTGACTGAAGAAGATTTGTTTACTACGCAATGCAGAAAGCGTAAAAATGCAGGAAGCTTGCTTATTTCATCCAAAAAATTAAGTGAAAAATTATTTAAAATGCGGGAAGCGTAAGAATTCAACTTCCTTAAAGACATGAAAGTTTAGATTTAGAAGAAAGCAATCTTGTTCATTATGAAGACGAAATTTTCATCTGCATTCTTCTAAACTTGTTGGAGTATATTACACGAGATTGAACATGATGCCACATGATTGTAACCTCTAATCTTCATTCAGGTATGACAAAAAACGGCCTCGTTTTTCTTTTTAGCGTTCTTGACTAGGGTTATGGCTAAGATCATTTACTACAAACTGGGCATGGGAGTTTCTTCTCATCTTGCTCCTTCGAGTTGCAAATGATAATAACTAAACTGATTAATTTAACTGCGATTAATTACGCGCATAATTGCATATATAGTCTCACGTCAAAACTATTATATCATGAGATTTACGGACAGTTCAACAAGAAAATCGACAGTCAATTTAGACATCGGTGCATAGCATATTTGTAGGGAGTAGTGGAGTACATGGGGGCGGGGGAAAATTAAAGAAGTTCTTGATGCAACAAATGTGATTATAGAGATCATATTTTCCTTTTCGAAGCTTACGCTGTTTCTTCTATACAATAACAATAAACAGGGTATACATCACAACACTGCTGCACACTTGAAACAATCAACATGCAGCAATATGCAACCTTTTGATGTAGGTTTCCTCTGTCCTCTCACCCCCCACCATTCTTCACCTTTTCTATTTTGAGTTCTTATTTTACAACCCCTTAGCGGGAAAAAGGAAAAGCAGAGGGACTAAAAAAAGAAATAAGAAAAATAATATACCTGGGGGGAATAGATACAGACTAACTAATAAAAGAATTTGCACCGGCAATGGAACTGAAACTCAGCAAATACGGCAAAAAAATTTAAATACCCCCTGCAAAATCAAGGCAAAAAGACCTATTGTTAAGAAGATTAAATTTGCAAAAGAACAGATTATCATAGTAAATTATGACATACCAGTAAATTACCTTCATAATCATGGGTGTAACACACATTGTCATGAAGTGAATGCGAAAATTCTATCAGCTATATTTGTGCGGCATATAGGACATTCTGAACAAGCCAGTGAACAAGGTTTACATACTGCAAAGAGACCAAGCGTAACTAATTTTGAAAAACTGGCATGAATGTTGAACAAAGGAAAAAACAAAGAGTATGGATAACTTACAACAAAAATGTCGGCAAGGAAGAAGGATTGCAGCTGTAGGTGATTCATAACAAACTTTGCACAGATGGGAATTTGTCTCTCCATTGCCCATATGTTTTTCTTTGTCCTTCATCTCTTGCATCCTTGCCTAATATTTACAATACATCAGTTACTAATGGACAAAAGCTGAATCGCCAATTTTTCTACTCACAAAGTTCTATGTTAATGTACATGCTGAAAGTTTAATCCTGTCCATCATGAGTCATGAGACTCGTTACCATGAAGTACAATTATAACAAAAACTGAGCATAAAATAATCACCTTTAACCGAGCAACTAATGGCTCTTCGCTGGGAGCATCTTGAGTGGTTTTGTTGACCTCCAAAGATTGAGTTTCCTTGATGAAGCCATTTTTCTCCACCTCAGCAGCTTTCTGTCCGTTCGAAATATCCCCATTATCAAGCCTCTCGTCAGACATAGACTCGTGAGCAGCTCCTACTTCTTTCTTCAACTTTGCGACAAGCACCCACATATTTGCCAAATCATTTTCAAGAGCTACCTCCCTTCTCTTAGCCTCTTCAACCTTTTTCCGGCATTCCTCTTCCACATATTCTTTGTCAGCCAAAGCAGCTTCAAGAGCTGCCTCCCTCTGTTTCCGTGCAAGTAGTTCCATCTTAAGGTCTTCCAGATCCAAATTATACGAGTCAAATTCATCATAAAATCCTCCTGATACATCATTACCACGACCAGGATATCGACCTTTTCTTCCAGCTTTCATGCCGTCCCCATGTTTCCGATTACCACCATTGGAAATTTGGGAGCCTCTGGAGTGACTAAATTCACGAGCAGCCTGCAATTCCTTTTCTAGTTTTGCATTCTGCAACGAAATTTTTGTTACTTCAGCAGCCAAGTTTTTCAGCTCAACAGCAGCAGCAGAAGCTAATTCCTTCGCATAGGAAGCCTCTTCGGATAATTTTTGATTCTGCACACACAATCCACTATTTTCTTCCACTAACTGAACATGTTCCAGCTTCAATTTCTCATTTTCCATCTCCTGCACGAACATATAAACATTAAATTCAATAGCTTATTTAGGTTGAAAACTTTTCCAGAGTCAAACAATCTTAAATGCATAAGATAATGATGAATTATCGCTATACAAAAAACAAAATGAATACAATCATACAATTTTATCAAAGGTTTGAAATGTTAAAAAAAAAAAAAAAAAAAAAAAAAAAAAAAAAAAAACCCACATAAATAACTAAATATAATGTAATAGATTGCACAGATAGAGTTTAGCTAAGAAAAGGGCTATAATTCCAATCTTTGAGCACACCTAATTTTCAAGATATCAACATGACAAACTCACTTATCATTATGAAAACTATTTGAGTCCATGAAACAGTGTACTATATTTTAAGAAAATTATTCACCTGTGACTGAACTTTCTTTCTCAATTCCTCAGTATACTCATCAGTTGTGCCCTGTTCAGAAGGCAAAGGTAAATCACCGCCAGTTGAAGCCACATGCTTTTCCAGGGCGTTTAATCGATCCAGTAGTTCCATATTTTCTGCACACTGTAAGAAACAGGAAATACAAAGGTAAGACTAACAGAGCATATAATTTTATCCTCCCAGCACACAGGAAACACTAAATCAAGACAAAAACTAAGATACCTTATTTTGAAGCTGTTCCTGAAGAATCCGGTTGTCGGCTGTTTTTAGCTGCAAGAGAAGATTAATGATGAATCCACTTGATAAAAATGCTATTGTTAGAATTAGTCATTTCAACTCATCAGAGTTTAAACCAATCGAAAAGGTTTCATCAGTCATTTGTATAACAAGATCAACCATCAAAATGCACCTGTAGCAGATACAGAATTGCAGAGGATGCTAGTTCAAATTGCTTAAACATATTCTTTTGACTAGTCAAACACACATCCACGTCATAAACCATCAATCAGGAGCGCTCTCCAATGGCTAGTTGCCAAAGGAAAAAATAAATTATTACAACGCCAAATTACCAATAAACAAGCACCAAAGAATTCTTGATGAGCTGATTAATGGAAAGGAGAATAGCCAGAAGCATAAAAAATTATCATGCATATAGATATTCCGAAACGGTAAGAAACATTCACAGAAACAAAAAACATATGAAAAGGAAAAAAGCAAAGTTTACATTAACATGCAGTGCTAAATGGTAAACAGGTGCATGTACTATGTTAAATACCATACAGTATCAGTATCACTTCAAGAGTACTGCAGCAATAAAAAAGAAAACCATAGCCATTCAGGCTTAGAAGCAAAGAGAAACATACCTCTAACTCAAATTCCTTTTGGCTACACTCGGTTTTTAATCTTGTAACAGTCTGTCACAGAGGAAGGTGAGATATTAAAAGGCGACATCATCGCACATGGCCCACTCACACAAAGGCCAAGGAGTTGAGAGGAAAAAAAAAAATGTCGACTAGAAAGAACAGGAATTCAGATTGTTCTAGAAGACAACCTGCTGCATATCAAGCAATGACGCACTAGCCACTGAAGCCTCACCACTCTGGATAATTCGCTGTTCTAGAAGCCTCATCTGCTTCCTCTTATCTTGGATTTCACATTCCAAATTATGAATCTGCATTTCAGAGAATCATAAGAACAGTAGAAATCAATATTAAATATGGGTACTCGCATTATCGGATATATATACATTTATCAGCTAATCCTGAAATCTACAAAAATTTCTCACTTAGAAACAAAAGGCCATAACTTCATAATTTCATATAGGAGCACATGTATAGATAGAGTGGGTATCAATACTTTTAAAATATAAATGGACCCCTATAGGAAATTAATAAGTCCTAGGGCAATCCGAGAATATCAATTAGAACATTCTTATAAAGTGTATTACTAATGGTATTATAAGGAACTTAACACCAAAAATCTCCATCTAGTCTAAGCACAAGCACATATACTAAGACTGATTTCCAAAACGGTAAAACCTGTATGAAAAAGGGCAACAAGAAAAACATACTTGGCTTTGGGCGGCATCGGGATCATTTGCAGATTGCTCAACCAAGCGTTTGAGTGTGCTTGTACTGAAAGCAATTTCACCAGCAAGCATCTTCACTTGCTCCACAAGAAGGTCCATCTCATCAGATGCAGTTATATCGTCCTGATACCCAACAAATACATAAATGCATAAGAATTTATAAGCAAACAACAATGATGATAATTAACAGAGAGTTTTAGCATTTGTCTCGCATGTAAAAGAGCACACATAATAAGTAAAAACACACTTGTGCAAGAATTTCACAATAAATTGCATCATATTATTCAACAACATGATGAAACAGTGAGAAGGATGCAACAGGGTAAAGAAAAAAGTAACATTCAATAAAAAGCAGAACAAAAACAATGTTCAGATCAAAGAAGTACGGTCATTTATTTGGCTAATGAATTCAGAAATAAAGCACTATCTAATAACTTAATTTCAAATTAATTTAAAACAAGCTGGTGGCACTTTGAGCAGGAAATTAGAAGCCTTCATACTTTCATATTTTGCAGCAACAATCATTGTCATTATGCCTTCAATTAAATTACAAACATTAATCATTCACATTTATGAAAGGAAAAACAAACATAATTTGACATATGTACAAACCAGGACAGAATAAAACAAAATACATACAGTTGTAAGGTTTGAACCACTGATGAATTCGCCGGCTTCGTTAGATTCCGCGAGTATGCTGCCAGCTGCAGAAAGTTCGTCATTCCATTTGCTAGACGAGCGTTTGTGTTGGAAATCAACCGTAGGATCTGAGAGTGCTGACGGGGTATCCTTATTGTTTTCACAGTCCCCAAGCTCTAATTTCTGACGCCAGATAAATATAAAAAAATGTTATAAACGTAGAACACAATCTTTGTCTCTCCACAAGGTAGCTTTTATTGGTTCACATGCCGCTCTAGGCCTCCTTAATAAGTAGACAATTTTCATGTTTTCCTATCTCTCGTTTCTTTCCCTGTGTCAAAAGGCCTAGAGCAGTGATCATAGGTAGAAGGGCATAATGGACTGTACGGTGGCAACTGGCAAGGGAGTATAAATGGCCAAAAAGGAGGCATGTCATGAGAAAGAGACGATGTAGTAGGAAACCTTTTAATATTGGAAGCAAGCTTGTCAAAAAAAATAAACTTAAGATCATGCAGAACTTACATCATCAGAGTGACTTCTCTGGTAACCGGCAGCATCACCCAGATATGAAGGAATACTGTTTTTTGAGGAAACAAGTATCAATTTAGTCAGCCTCTGTATTCTACTCATCAGGGCTGCCTTTGCTTCTTCTTCTTCCTCTAGCCTTGATTGCATTTTAAATTGACCTTCTTCCAACTACAACCAATACTAGAATAAGCATAACAATGCATACAAAACAGCAAATTTAATTAATATTAAGTACTAGTTAAAACAGTAAGGAACCTTTTGCTTTAAGGTCAAAATCTCCTCATGACTAACTCCAACAAGCATTCCTCTCCTTAACTGATCAAGTTCTTCCTTAAGAGTTGTAATTTCTCGCTGGTACTTTTTAATTAAGGACTTCTCATCAATAATCTGCACAATAATAAATTTCATACATCATTAATTAATTTCAACATATTGGAGTCCAATGGTCAACAAAATGTTGGATTACATCTCCACACGGATAAGGCATACCTTATTACGCGAAGCAAATATCTCCACACGCTTAGCCCTGCTAGCAAATTTCAGAGTATTATGAGTCTCCTCCATACTGCTAGATGCAGGGGTAACTGTGCATATAAGCTGCAAAATTTCCAACAAAAGGCCTGTGATAAGAAAGTTGCTAAATCATAATAAATAAAAATAGAGTATTGTGCGATTGTGCCATCAAACATGAATTCGAATGCAAGCAACGGTGTTTGCTAGTTCACAGCACGCCAGCAACAGACAGTTATTAAAACAAGAATCCAATCAAAAGTTGTCCAGACCTTTTTGCATTACAAGAAGTTTCAATAATGAGTGATCTTAAAAGTATGATTCAATTCCTTCATGGAACCCTAGTGTTAAAATAATATCTATCTCTGGAACTTACTGAAACGTGTCCACGACCACTAAGAGAGGACTGCAGAAGGCGAGTAAGCTTCGAATCTCTATAAGGAATATGAGATGCCTTCCCCTCACTGAGCTTCCCAATGACCTTCACATCAAAAAAGCAGATTATATGGCATGAAATAGAGTAGTGCAACCAAAGAAAAATTCTTGCCAGAATATCCTGTTGGGACAAGTCAGCTACTTGCAAAACACCTACATCATAAATTCGATGCAAAATATATTTATTTGGGACAAAACAGATAATAAATATGAAGCACTTACTGTTCCAAGAGTCAAAAGACTTTTATTGATATATGAACCTTCCTTTCTTCTTAATCCTGTTGTTTCGGTTTTGGAGCTCTCGGATCCAGCTAAATCAATCAAATTCTACAAAAAAAAAAAAAAAAAAAAAAAAAAAAAAAAGATGGGGTAAATAAAATAACATATTGTCACACAGCAAAATCTTCAAAATTGCACATTTCATATACCAAATTATAGATCAGAAATGTACCAGCTGTGAGAATACCACCCCATCATATTCATCACCATGGGAACCACTCTCTATCATCTACAAAGTGAATTACTGGTCAGTAAATACGGCATATAAACAGAAATTTAGAATTTACCAACTGTAAAAATCGGTAAATTATGCATACAGCCACACTGGCAACTATACTAATTCAGTAAATGTACAAATTTAAGGTCCTGTATGGAACATATACATGTGGGTAATCTCAGAAACTGCAAATGACAATACATCTTCTAACATGTCAAACCTTTTAAGGATGCTATAAAACTCCTTGCAAATGGAAATAATAGAGACATATGAACGACAAAGTTAAGAAAAAAAAGTATGCATCCTAATCTTGTCAAACTTCTAGATACATTTCTGCAATGAAGCCTACAATAAGATTCTTCAGAAATTAACAATCTATGCAGCCATCAAGCAGTACAAATAACATGCCAACCGACAAGAGTAACTTTCACATATCCGAGGGTGGTCCTTACAAAGCTTGAAGGCTGCATACTACAATTAATTTCTGGAAACCCAAAAAACCCATGCATATGGCAACAGAATAATAATTAAACTACAGAGAATCTTGGTCTTACTTAGAGAGATTTTTATAAGCCACTTTAGATTACTGAGATTGTCTCAAATGGACGACGAACCAGCTAATGATTCCAATAAATGTAGTAAAATAATGGAGCAGCAGCAAAGACATAACACTAAAAGCCAAAAACAGACATAATTAGAGAGAAGTTAGCATAAAATTAACAAAGTACAGAAGTCAACTTTACCAGTGAGAATATGGTGTGGCTTCTACTACTGAAAAGGTTAAAATTGTTAGAACCAACGTGGCGATGCTCTGCAGGCATAAAAACTGATTTAATAACAGGAACTTAAAAACGGTAAGATTAGAAACCATAAGATATCAAACTCTTAAATGTACCTTCCCCAGCAGCAATAAAAGATAATGCATGCCCAGGAGACAAAACAACCTCTTCTTTAATGCCTTCAACATAAGTTCCCTGAAAAATCTTGCACGATCAATATTATATTCTGTCACAAATGAATATGGAAAGATTATATTCTAGCCAATAACTGAAACCAACACAAACCTGGGCATCTTCTCTTACACGTAGATTCTGACCAGTTGGATCAAGCAAATCATTTATAATCTGAAATCACAGGATTCAGATTAAATACAATTCTACTCATAAGTAAACCCTGAAATAAATACTTGAACCAGAAAACTTAATAAGATTATAGCACGACGGGATGATCAATAAAAAGCCTTCATCGTGAATATTAGATTTAAATATGCCGAGTTATAAGTCAGTAAAAAAATTCTCAATTATCAGATCTATATTAATGTATAGGTTATCTTTACCTCATTATAGATCTCGAGATAGGAAACACGGAGCAGGAACTCTCGCCCAGGAGTCTGAACCAAAAGCGAAGTAAATCAGCCATAGTTCATAAATATAAGGACATAAAGAATGATAATTCTAGATGAGCTCCACGTATAATCAAACATGGTTCGTAGCAAAAGATATTAAAAACGTAATAGCAAACAGTGAAAGAGCAGCTTCAAATGGTATGCTTGACAGTCCAATGGCTATAGCAAGAGAAGAAAGTGTGCTTACTTCCTGTATAATACTGAAGACATCTTTGATTGCCAGTGGTATGATACCAGGACAGTCTTGGTCCCCCTGTAAAGAAAACATCAGAGATTAGTCAATGACAATGGATCATTACTTTCCAAGCTACGAACAAGAAACATGAGACATTAGTCAATGACATTGCTGAATATGCTGATATATGAAAACACTTTCAAACATCTCATGAAGTTAAGAATAATATAGTCAAACAGGGAGTTGTAGTTGAGGCCTTGTAGCCAAAGCAGCTATGAAATGTATAATTCCTACCATAGCATAGCTCCTCTCATTCATCACAATGATCAAAGCTTTCGGTGAATCGGTAGTGACAAAAGGACGAGATTGGTGGAATTGTGACAATGGCATTCTACTCGGATTATCGATTCAAATTGGGAATCAGAAAATTATCATTATAATTGTTAAAACGATTAGTTGTCTACAAATTAAAGGTATACATCCTACTGCAGCTTCCATCAACATCGCACAGTACAATGACATGGCCCATTCTTGTAAACCAAAGTCTCTATATTGACATTCAAAACAGCCACTGTAAAATACCCAAATCTAATGTAAGTCCTTAAATCTTCGGCTTGGCTAGTCACATTGGTCTAATTTCCCAGGACTTTCTTCGCCAAAAGAGTAAACATAAGGGGATAAACACTGTTAATCTCGACAGATAGGTTCAGCAGTTGATCTCAAGATTCTCAACTTGTTATCTAGATTTTGAAAAATCTATAGCAGCAATAAAAACGTGAACCACATGTAATCAATCAAAGGCAGCTACTTAATCACTTACATGCATTGTGTGCGTCTTCCCACTGCTGGTAACACCATAAGCAAACACTGTACCTGCATCACCAAAATTGCACTTTCATATCACTGACCGTCGAAAAACACAATTTCTTCACTACAATCAACTACAAAATCACCACTAGCCATCGCATTTCAACTCAAAATCTAAAACACTACAAATCAATAACCATTTGATCATCACTGGCAACAGTATTACACCTCAATACCAAAAAATCAAAACTATAAATCCAATTTCATTCGACATACTCCGGTCCGATCAAACCTTACACAATACATACCATTAACACCATCCATAGCAGCTTTAACAACAGGCCGAGCCGCAACATCATAAACCTCCTCTGTGTTCGCATTTGGCCCGAAAACCTTATCTGCCAACACAAATTCAATCAAACATCAACCGATTGCTACGATCACAAAAATCAAAATCAAATTCAACATCATTAAATCAACAATTCATCAACCACATTACATGAATTACTTAATTACTTAATCCAACATTAATTCAATTCAAAACCTAAAAATAGAAAAAATTGATTACCAAATGCATAAGCACAAGTAGCTGGACTATACTCGCTTCTTACAGTCTTATCACCATCTGGATACCACGATACTTCATCTCCTCTCTGATATTCTCTATCACTGAAAAAAAAAATCAAAAAAAAATTCAAAATTAAGATCTATCATCAATAATTAAAAATTCAGATCTAATTTTGAAAAAAATGAAAATAAATTTAAATTAAATTGAATTGAATAACCTCATGGGACGAAATCGGACGGTGACGGAGATACTATCAGCGGTGGATCTAGGAGCATCGAACGGTTCAGGAAGCAAGTCATCGGAAGGTGAGAATGCGACGGGAGATCGACCGCCATAAGCCCGGTTCGGAGTCATGGATCTTGAACCGTAAGTATTATTACCGGTTGAGCCGTGGAAAGAGGAAGAAGAAGAGCTATTAGACCGGGGAATGAACCGGCCACTAGTGTTCATAAACGACGACGTAGAGGAAGAAGAAGAGAAGGGACTAGAAGTTCTCCGATTATGGCTGAACGGTGAACTACTTCTTGCCCTTGACGACATCTACTTACGACGCCGTTTTTGGGTCAAATGCAACAATTTAAAGTACTCCAGAAAAGTATTATCAAAGGAGTTTGAAGAATGAATTTGGAAGGAAGAAAAATGGAGGAGAGAGAAAGTGGTGGGAAGAAGAATTTGTCAGAAATTCCACATGGTGTCAATGACAAAAAAGGAAGTGCATTTTTGTTTTTTTTTTAAATTAATTTGAAAGTTTGAAATGTAATTCCAAATAATAAATTAATAAATAAAGTGAAAAATGGAAGGTTTGAAGGTTGCAGAAGAGAGAGAAAATGGAGGAGAGAGAAATAGAAGGAGAGAGGAAGAAGATGACTAGTAGGAAGTTATGAGGACGACGGTGTAATTGTCAAAATAGTTTTATTTATTTTTTAATTGGGTTTGTAATTTAGTGGGTTATTTTTTCTAGGGAGTGAAATTCAAATTTTCAAATTGGGGGTGATGTGGAGGGGGAGAGAGGCGAGCTGAGGTGGCGGGAGTGGAGGGAGAGCACTCAATATAGTATGGGGTCGTTTGGTTGGATCAATTGGAATGAATTGGAATGAAGTTAGAATTCATTTTATCTAATTTTTTATTTGGTTAAGGTTTTAGTAATGGAATCTCATACTCAATGGGTTCTAATTTCCCCCATACTTGTGGAATCTCATACTCACCCCTCCCCCTAAGATTTATAATATACTCTATTAATGAAGGATAGAATTCATTCCAACTATAAAACCAAATAACTTTGGATTATTATGGATTTTAAAATCCATACCTCTCAAGTACGCGATTCCATATCAATCCATTCTAACTTGATGAACCAAACACCCCCTAATTCAGTTTGAAATTTTTTTTACAAAAATTAAGAAATGTTCGACTCTTTTAAAATAGTTGAGAGTATAATTGTTTTTGTTTTTTGTTTTTTTTGAAGAATTAGGGTGTACCCGTGCAAAATGCACGAGAAATATATTTTACGATTGATATTAAAAAAATCTAATAACAAAATTATATCGACTACGGAAAGTTGATTTTGATATAGTAACTAACTCTTATACATGGCTGACTGGCTGGTAATGATGTACGGAGTATGTAGTCCTATGTTAAAATGTAATACCCCGTATTTTAATATGTATTTTCTAATTAATTAATTATTATTTTCTAAAAAGGGTATTTTGGTAATTTATTTTACTAGTTGAATTTTGGAGCCAAAATTATATTTGAATTTTGGCGCCAAAGGTATTTTAAGACTTAATTATTATTTTTGGATTTTGAATAAGATTATTATCCATCTATTTTATTTTAAAAAACGGATTATTTATATATATTTCGGACATTTTAATTAAGCAAAAATTATATTTTAATTATTTAAATTAGGAGGTCCAAAATTTCCTACTGATTGGCTATTAATTTCGTATTTTCCTAGTGTGGAAAATCTGATTTTCTTAGTTAATTTATTTAGTGAATAATTGGTATTCTCTTAATTAATTATTTCATACAATATATATTATTTACACAATTATTTTTAATTCCTTAAATCTAGCAAAATAACTCCCTAAATACTACTAATATAGTCCAAAAATTTGAGCTATGGAAGCTCAAAATTTTCGGCCACCATGGTTGGATTTTGGGTGATTTATTTTGGTAAATTGTATTTTTAATTATCTCCCTTAAATTTATTATTTTTCCTTAATTCTTATTTCCCATCTCTTAAATATTTGATCATCTTATTTCCCTACCTTATATCATCCTTGATTATTCCCCAAGCAAGCTCTTTTGCCATATTATTTTTCACGACAACACACTTTCCATAAATTAATTATTCTTAGTCACCTTAATATTAAACTTTTCATAATTCTTTAGCCCTCTTCTCCAAGTAATTTCCTTAATTCTTTTTACCATAATTCTTCCTACATTCTCCTACCATAATTCTTACATGAGCTAGCCTATAAATACCCCTTAGTTCATGGCTAAACACTCACACCAAATTCTCTAATTCTCTCTTAATCTCTCTAGTTTTCTCCTCCTCTTTTCTCTTGCTTTCACTCGGCCACCACCACCAAACACCACCTGCCACCAGCCGCCGCCACCTCCCACGCCGACCTCCAGCAGCAGCCACCTGCCGGCGTGCTGTTGCCCTCCTTGCCACCACCTTCTTTTCCTCTTTTCCTTGGTTTTCTACCCCTTCTTCTTCTCTTCTCTTATTTAAATAATTATTATTATTATGGGGGATTTATAAAAATTATTATGAGTAGTTTTAATTAAATAATATCAGATTTTTATTCAAGGTTATGAAAAATAATTTATACGGTTCATGTACATATAGTTGGGGGTTTTTAATTTAATTGTTGTGATTGTTTATTAACCTTATATTAATTAAGGTTATGCTTGATTGTAGGGTGTGTTTAATCAAAGTTCTTGAAGTTCTTTTTTATGTGCTAAGCAAGGATCAAGTACATTAGGTGGCTAGATACTTTTGAAATTGATTGGATTGAATGAGCATGTTTCATATGATTTTTATAAATTGAATTGAATTATAATTTATGAAATAAAAGCATGTTTAAAAGAATTGATTTTGATAAATAATTGGAGGATTGATTTAATATCAAGTTTTGAATGATTAAAATTATTTATCATGGTTTAAAGGTTTGATTTTGAAAGCATGTTGAATTAATAAAAAGGAGTTTGAGTTATTTATTGGAATTATTAAATTAAAGAGGTTATTTGAATTATTTATTAAAAGCTTTACAAGCATGATTATTATATTAATCCCACTATGCGGATTCATTGAAGATTATGGACTTTGTATGACCTATTCTTTCCTCAAGAATAGCCTTGAAATAGTAGGAGACTAGCTTGGGGGGTGTGCACACTTAGAGAGGGAATTATGTTTTTGAAAATAATTTATTTTATTAATCACTATTATTGAGTTATTGGAGTTATATTTGAGAATTGGTTTTGAATCATGAGTCTTGGAATTTATTGGATTAATTATTGGAATTTGTTTTAAAAGCATGATTGCAAATAAATTGAGTTTACTTATCTTGCACTTATCGTACTTAGCATATTTTGCTAACTCGTATTTCCTATATGTTTTGGTTCGCCCTGTTTACCTTAATGGTAAGCAGTGTTGACTATTTTCAGGTGGAGTCAATAATAGAGCATATAGGAGTCCCAGGATGTTCTTTACCTATAATTAGGAATGTTGGTCTTTGTTTTTATTATGAGGACTCATGGCAATGGTTTCTATTTATAGCTATTATTGATAAAGAAAGAGTTTGAGTTTCTGCTTCAAGGTATTGGTTTTGGTTAGTAGTTTTAGTAGCCTTGCGTAATAATCACGCGGCGGTAATACGCTTAACTCTATCTCTACGGCATAATTATACATATTATATTGGTATTTCCGTAGAGGGAGATTTGAGGGTGTCAGATAAAATCAGGAGCCGGTCGAAGTAAATGTATTAATTAATGTTTTTATTTTGTACTCCATTCTATTTTAAGTGTCCAACTTGTAAATAATATGTAAGTAAATTATGAAGTAAAAATTCATCAAAGTTTAACAGTCAAGGTTTATTTATGATCTAAGTTATTTCATCACCTTGACAAAAAAAAAAAAAAAAAAAAAAAAATTAAATTTAAGAAATAAATTAAGCTACATTATTTTAATATTCTTTAGAAAAAATTATGAGTTCATATTTTAATTTGCTATCCTTCTAGTCTTTGGGTGTATTATGTTTATGTGGAGGATGTGAACGTGGTTCTACAGGTTGTCTCATTTGTTGCAATATGTTGTAGCTTGTAGCCTATAGTAAGTTTAACTTTTTAATATTAATATTTATGTTTATTTTTTTAAGGAAAAATTAATAATAATAATCTCAACTTTTACCCGTTCGCTTAAAATAATCCCAATTTTGAATTATTTTTAAATAATCCAAACTTTGGGGTCGTCCCCTTAAAATGGTTCCAACCGATCACTCTACTTGTTATAATAGGTTACAGTGACACGTGTCACCACGTAGTTAGTTCAAAAAAAATTACAAAAAAAAAGCTTTTAAAAAAAATTCAGACCCACACACGAATACCCTCCCCACCACCGGCCATGGCCCCCCTCCCGGAACCCCTCATCCCCGCTGGAGACCAGTCATTTATCAATTTTTCCTTTTTAATAAAATACTTGGTATATTTTTGTATAAATAGAAAATTAAATATATCAGTGGTTAAGCTATTTGTTGACGCTTGGCAAATGGGATATTTAATTTTGTATTGTAGCTTTTAATACAACATACAGTAATATCCCATTTGCCAAGCGTTAACAAACATCTTAACCACATATCGAATGAAAATTCGGCATTGTTACGATACAAAACATCCCATCTGTCAAGCGTCAAACTGTTACGGTACAAAATATCCCAGTTGCCATACAACATACTCCTATTTCACAATACTTTAATACAGTAATTAAAATTTTGATATTGTGAACTGCATATCGAATAATCAAAATATATAATAAAAAAAGTTTGACTACGAAATACCATAACATTAGAATAAATAAAAAATAAAGTTATAGTTAGCGTCACAAGTCACAACCTTGATTATAAATGTAACAACCTAAGAAATACGGAGTAGCTTTTATACAAAGTATTATACACCGTATTAGAATTTGTGATTTCAAGTTATATATATATGTGGTATACCAACGATCCGTATTTAAAAACTACAAATTTAGGCATCCATAAATTGACTCTTAGTGTATTATCTTATTTATTTATTTATTTTAATGGAATTCTCTTACTTAATTGAACAACTAAAACTTCAATAGAAAACAATTCATCCACAGACTCACTATACCGTCCATACATACTATTTTGGAGCCTCTTGACATCACTTATTAAACTTTGATAACCAAAAAGTCAATAGGAAGATAGCAAGAAAGAACAAATAAAATAACAACATTATTTTATTTTTTTTGTTGTTTAAATGAGGACAATAGAATAGCTATCAATTATATTTGGATTATTTTGACAAATTCAAAATTCCAAATTTTCAATTGTGGGTGATGTGCAAGGGAGTGGTGACGTGGAAGAAAGAGAAAAATAGAGTTGATGAGTTGGTTTTTTTTTTTTTTAATAAAAAATTAAATGGGAAAAGGTAGAATTTAAAGAGGAGAAAATGGGCGGGAAGTTTTACATTTTTTACTGGAGTGTGTCATAGTTGCAGTCGAGGGGGGATCAGATAAGGTAGTTGTAAACTGTAAAAAGGTAGAGGCTGGAGCAAGTAAAACACAAAATTTCCTCAAAACTTTCAACTAACCAGGGCATTTTGGTCTTTTTACTGTTTGGCTTTCCTTTTTGTATATGACGCATTTTAACTTTGTAGCGTTAGGGTTTGCTTTCATACTACTTCTATGGCAATTAGTTACGGAGTAGTTAATTACCGCACAATAATTACAGCTAGATTACTCCCCCTTTTATGGTGCGTTGTATTCTTGATTATTACTCCCCTTTTATGGTGCGTTGTATTCTTTGAACTTAATTTAGTTGTAAATCATTTTGGTTAAAACTTTTTGTTTCTTTTTGAGTATAAATTTACACTATTTACAATAATATATTACTTTTTGTTTCTTTTTGAGAAATTATTTTTTATAAATTTTTCATTAGAAAATAAATAGCCATGTGGGGTCAATAAGTTTATGAAATCTGATAAACAATAAGTTGAACTGTCTAGGAAAATTGTTAATGGTTCGATATTAGTAAAACGTTAATATTGTACTGTAGAGGGCTCACTATCATTGTTTTTTTTTAAAAAAATAGGAGTAATTAAAACATAAAAGAACGGATGGAGTACATGTTTAACTAGAGGTCGATTTACTTTGATAATGGAGTTTCACTATCAATCGTTCACGTAATTGACCTCTATCTTTCGTTTTCTTATCCATTTTCAATGGTTTGTGTTTGGGGGCGTTTGGTATAGTAATTTTAGATGCAGGAAACGAATTCTATTAAGTGTTTCCATCTCTAGTTGTTTGGTATGGGTTAAAATTAACAAATACCGTTTTCGGAGGGCAACAAAATCCTCCAATTTATTACCCTTGACAAACTAGTGGAAACAAAATACGTTTTCTTACTCAATCACAATCTCCTCAAATTATTTCCATTCCACTAGGATACCAAACATATAGTAAAGGTACATTTATTATTACCCTTTTCCCTTACTTATTTGAATCCTTTTCGTTTCATTTACAACGCTTATACCAAACACCTACCCATAGTAAATTTAGTTTTGATCGAAATGTGTGTTGATAAACAAGCAATAAACTGTACTTCATTCCATTTCAATAATAAATACATTTTCTTTGAGACACATTTTTTAATATCAATTTTTTATACTACGTGGTTTATATATGCATATATAAATAAATATATTTATAATTTAAGATGCGTCTTACAGAGCAATTTACAAAAAGAACTTGCTTATTAAGGTAAATAGAATAAATCTTTAATAGCAAGAGTAGAATGTACTCCGTATTAAAGATAAGGATCTTGGGTTTAACAAGTGTGATTTTATGAAGGGCAAAGTAATTAATTAGAAAGGCAAAGAGGACCCGAAAGAGATCCAAATCCACGTGAGAGTTGGTTGGCTTTTGGAACATTGAACCTTTTTGCACATGATACCACTTCCTTAAGTTAGAATCACTATGGCCCCCCTTTTCTAATTAACTACACCCATACATACTCTCAAGTCTCAACTCATTTTGATAAACCTCCAAATATTTAGTCCTCCCTAGAACTTATTAATTTTTATACTTGCTCCCCTTGTCCTAAAATAACTTGACACTGTTCTTATTTAAGTCTGTCCCTGAATAAGTGACATATTATTAAATAGAGCATGAGACCACCAATTAAAAACTATTTTCCTCTACTCTTCCATGACCCACTGATTTTTTAAACAATTTCAGTCACATAATAAAAGCAAAAGGAATATTTTTACATCAAACAAATGTAATAAATGTTCTCACTCAAAACTTTTTTTAAGCTATGTGCCCATCCCAACGTCCTAGATATTCTGTGACGGAAGGAGTAATATTTAAAAATATTTTCTTGATTTTTAAGCTAGAAAATTATAAACTAGGGATATATATTTAGCAAAAGTGATTCTTAATTTATTTGTTGTTATAAAAAAGTACTTAGCATGTTGTTCTTAACTATGCAATTAAGTCAAATGCCAAGATATAAATATCCTTGAAGAATCAATTAAATGTCCGACATCGACAATTCAATCAATAATACATGATCTATAGCTTCCTCATTCCCACCTCTATAAAAAGAATGAAAAAGAAGATCTCAAACAATGCATTATTAGAAGAAAAAAACCCCATAAAGATACAAGTATAGAACCATGAAGTACTTTGTACTCTCATAAATAAATTTAACAAGAGTGTATAAAAATAACAAGTCGTATCCTTTGTTTCTAAATATTAAACCCTCATTCGATTATTCGTTGATTATATCAGCCTGTCTAATTAGAGACATCTAATTAAATTGAAACGACATCGATAACCCTATTAGCGAGACTTTAATTTTCCATGCTAATTAAACACAGCCTTATAAGACCATGCTTTGTCTCTTTGTCCACACTTTCAACGAACCTTAACAATGTAAAGTAATTATTTTTCTGCTTCCTTGCCTCTTGTATGTTCTAATAATATCATAAACAAAATAATTAAATTAGCTAGGTGATTGATTACACTCCACCTCTCTTTATAGTGGCCCGCAATATAGGAATTGAAGGTGAGACATAATTTTCTTGCACCCATATTAATTAACATAAATTTATTATAACCTTTTGATAGATTTGTTTTAAATCAACCATGCCACCTACTATGAGGATGATATCTAATTGGGGCCAAAATGATGTGATAGCTTAGTTTATTTTATTTTTTACCTTGTTTTGGTTATTAGTTAATCATTCTCCACTCAAATCTTAAGCACACTAATAATTTCAATAATCGACTATTACTGTTTTTTTTTAGGTCTAATTTACCAGGTAGCTACTGGTTTTAAATAATATGCACATTTAACTTCTTCTAACTAATTATTGAACTCAATAGGTGCAAAGTTGTGTAAAGGGCCCAAGGTTAAAGGCTATATAGTGACTAGAGCTTTTGATAAGGAGATTTATCTATTTATTTTAACTTAAAATGTTTGAGAGAAATCCAAATTCAATCCAACACAAACTTAGCAATATGAATAAATCGATCACATACAATACAATTGTCGCAATTTGTAATTTTTCTGATCCATGCAATTCAATGTATCTTATTATTATGTTATTATTCGAAATTATAGCTAAACCCAAACCTAACCTAATCACTAGAAGTTTCATGCTATAAGGGCAAGTGTGTGATAGTAAATAGGCTCGAGATATATACCACACTGACTTAAATAAAGACAATTGCTCATATTGTATTGAGAAAATGTTTAAAGTGGAACAAATAAGTAAAATTGTACTACGTAATACAGTAAATCTATTACAAGTCATAAAAAACACTCAATAAGTACGTAACTAATCATTTATGATCAATATAATAATTAATAAGTCTAATGATATCCGATCTCACATAAAAGATGATATGATAACTGTCTCGCTCATACCATATACAAGAATACAAACAATGGAGATCGAAGTGCAACCATGAAGACATTATTATCCCAAAATTGGTCCAAGACTCACTCATATATCATGTAAAAAATATTCTTGCCAAAGAAGAGTACAAGCAAAGAATGCTCAAATATCCATGATTAGTAACATAGAGAGACCATCTTTTTCTCCTATGCCACCCTTTTTCTGATGCCTACAATTACAAGCCATATACTGTGGTCCTTCTTCGATCTTTATACTACTACTACGGAGTAACTACATACACACACTTGATCACTTGTATTATAGTGAGAGTGAGTGCTATTTTTAGCTGTCACTTGCCATTACTACCATGTGATATTGTGTTACGCATATTATACACTACTTGCGCACGTGCCAGGGGGCTACTATTTATTTGCCACGTGTGTTCCACACTTTTCTTTTAGATCTTTTTTTTAGAAGCTTCATCATCTTTTTGCATATTGTATAGTCTGGCAGATCTCATCTTCCATTATTTTGTTACTCTATGTATTATTCGATCTCCTTTTGTTTGTGCTATTTATTAGCCTTGGCCCTTGGAAGCTTGTACCATAAAGCTTTTAGATTTCGTTTAAACGCACGCATGTTCGACCAATAATGTCCCGAGCTAACCACTTACCATCATATAAACCTCTTATGGAATACCTCTTTACAGTCGATAGATACAATACTACAATACCCTTGTCAAAAGATTAATAACTTGACGCTTTAAAGTATTATCGATTTACGACCTCAAGTAGTCCTCGACCAACCACTTTTTGGACGAGGATCCTAACAATAAAATATATACTTTGTATATTATATCAATTGGTGTATATGTAGGGATTAGAGTCATAAGATTACAAATTTTTGCTACTAGCTAGATAGCATTGTAGAGTAATGTAATACTATGAACAATTTACAATGTTTTTGTCTTTATGAAGATTGATCAAATTGGTCCTACTAGGGAACTCAAAAGCTATTATCTGACCAAACAATTAAAATCTCATACGTATACATAATTAGTAACAAAATGAACGTTGGATATTCATTGACAATAACTTTGGATTTTGTTGATGATATAAATCAATAATTGTCCTTCACATAAATTAATAAATAGGGTCAATAATACTCATTAGGGGTGGTCCTTAACGTCCTTCAACGTCTATTACAACTTCTTATCTGGTTAAAGGCCCAAGGGAAAAAAAATGGGCCTTACTTTTTCTTTAATCTACATTTAAATCTGAAGAGGCCATATTGATGAATTATTGACTGGCCCATTTTATTTATTTATTTATTTTAACGAGAAATCTAATTTTTTATTTTTATTTTTATTTTTTTGGCTCATTGCCTTCAAACCAAAAGGAAAGGACTTTGCCATTTTGCCTTATCCTAGAGGAATAGTGAGCAGAAATCAGGAAGAGAATGCAAGCATCAGTCCACCCTATAACATGCTATGTCCCCTTCTTTTCTCCCATTCATCAGGGTAATTTTAATTTCTTAATTTTCTCCCTTTTTCTTTATTTTGTTAATGTACATGTTTGATAAATTAATATTTTCTTAAAAAAGTTGGACACTATATTTCAGGAAATGGTAGTATAAATGTACATAAAGCTTTATTGCTCAAAGACATCATCATCAATGGAGAGCCCTGAAAAGGGCAAAAATGGTAATTCAGAGCGATTATACCTTGGAATGGACTTCGGTACATCAGGGGCTAGATATGCTCTCATTGATAAACAAGCCCAAATTCTTGCTGAGGCCAAGAGAGAATACCCTCTTTATTTGGTATGCTCAAATTTTAGTACTTTGTTCAAAATTTATGTTATTTAATTGTATCATCTTGCTTGAAATCTGATTTGTGGAATGGAAAAATAAGTTTAGCTAAGTTTGATTAGTGTTACGGAGTACTAATTTTGATTAGTAACTAAAGCTAGATTGTACCCGTACTAATGCATGAATGTGATATTATAAAACATCAGATAGTAGATATATACTAGTTAAGATTGCATTTGTTAGGTTAGGCAAATTTCTAGGCTTTGGTTGATAATTATCTCAGCATCATTTGGGCTAGTTTTTTTGTCTAGAAAGGATGGAGGATCTGTTAACTGGGCGCGCTCATGGAAAGAAACACTTTTTTCATTGCTTGGAGACGTTCCAGTACATCTTCGACCTCTTATTGCTTCCATTTCCATAGATGGCACTTCTGCTACAACTATGATTGTTAACAGGTAAACTCCTTTACCTTCCATTTGCCTAATGTTGCCTTACGAATTATGATACTGCACTCCTTCCTTAAATGCTAGGCCACATTTCAATGGTAGGCTATTCTACATTACACCTTAGTAATACTTGTAACATAGAACGCAAAAGAAAGACTCGCTATCAAAATTGTACCATGTGGCTTGTTATCATTTAGGGACGGAGGAAGTAGTTGTTTTTTTTATCCCTTGTTATAGTGGTATATAAATTTGTAGCATTTAGACTTGTGGATGCAGCTCTACAGGGGAACCATTATGTAGGCCTCTTTTGTATAACGAGAGTTGCCCGGATGCTTTACCAGCAGTTAGGTCCATAGCTCCCCCAAATCACACAGTCTGTACTGGCTCCTCTACACTGTGCAAGCTGGTTTCTTGGTGGCATTCTGATAGCCAGAAGAAGGAGTCTGCTGCATTATTGCATCAAGCAGATTGGTTACTTTGGCTGCTTCATGGAAAATTAGGCATCTCGGACTACAACAATGCTCTGAAGGTACTTTGCTTCTTGGCTCAATTGCTTCTCATTCCGCTCAAACTTTGATTTTCTAGGGACTGTGTGCTTCACTGATGGGTTTTGTGTGTATGTACTATGTAGGTTGGTTTTGACCCTGAGATTGATTCTTATCCAGCTTGGCTGCTGTCACAACCTTACTCGAGCGTTTTGCCTTCTATTATAGCTCCAGGATCTGCAATAGCAAATGTCAAAGAGGATGTCAGAAAAAGATTAGGTATCAATTTTTGTGCTGTCTGAGAATTCTCTATACAGTCAAGAATGTATGCTGTAAGATACATATATCCTTCTACCTTTGAGTTCGCATTTCCTACTTGATTTTAATAGGGGCTCTGGATTATTTCTAAGTTGTCGCCTTGTTTTGTGAATGAGCCAATAGCTGTATGTTCTGCAGGGAAGTAACATAATGACAGTAGCTCTTATCATCAGTCAATACGAGGACAGAAATTAATGATTATTGGCATGTCATATTAATCATTGAAATGCTTGACAGGTTTCTCTGAGGATTGCGTTGTTTGTGCTGGAACAACTGATAGCATTGCCGCGTTTCTTGCAGCTCGTGCCACAGAACCAGGAAAGGCGGTGAGACTTGCATCTAACATATAACTGTTATCACCCCTGTTTCCCTTATAATTTTTCCCTAATTTGCAATTGAGACTTCTGCGAATAACTTCTGTTAAGTAACTGTTTCTAGGTAACCTCTTTGGGTTCAACCCTTGCAATCAAACTACTAAGTAAAAGCAGGGTCGATGATGCGCGATTTGGAGTATACAGCCATCGGCTTGATGATATGTGGCTTGTTGGAGGAGCTTCGAACACAGGAGGGACTGTCTTGAGACAACTCTTTACTGATGAGCAGCTGGAGAAGTTGAGCGAGCAGATAAATCCTGCACTACCTTCTTCTCTGGATTACTACCCTTTACCAGCGGTTGGGGAGAGATTTCCTGTAGCAGATCCCAACATGCAGCCTAGGTAAGAGACTATGCTTAACTGCATACTGTGTGAAAGTCAATTAATTTGTTTGGCAACTCTATCAGTCCATCTTCTCTTGCATATTCTAATGTGTGCATCTTTATTGTCAGAGAACCGAGATGGAACTCAGTTCTATACTTATTTAGTGACCTTTATCTATACTTTTTTTATTAATATTATTATATAAAGATTCAATAGATGTTGGATTGCTAGATTTGGCTTCTATTCGCTTAAAAGGATTGGTAAGATTAAAGAAAAAGGCATAGGATTAAGGCATACTGTTATAGAATTTGGGAGGGGCTATAGCACACAAACGCCGTTGTTCATGCTGTATTTTTCTGTTTTATTAATTCTGTACATTAGCTTCAAGATATCAAGTAATTTCAAAATTACTAAATTGTGGCATACAAAAGTCTTTAGTTTTCAGCAAATTTGTCTGAGTAAAACTTTATTCAGTCTTCAGAAGAATTTTCTGAGCTAAATTCCCTGGTCTTCAGAAAACTATCTGATGATTAAGATGACTACTTTAGTGTTTGCTCATCGTCTCTTAGGGAGTTAAGGATTAACGTGTTTATGATTTGCACATTTCCAGTTATGAATATGATTAATGGCTTGCACAACTGAAGTATGTGTTACTCTCTGACCATGCAGATTACATCCGCGTCCTGAAAGTGATTCTGATTACTTGCATGGTGTTCTTGAATCCATTGCACGCATAGAGGTAGACCAAAATTTTCTTTTAAAGTTCAGCTATATTCTTGATAACTTGCAATTATTTCCCATCTCTGTAACCTAACTATTTGGGCTGTTTAGGCAAAAGGTTATGGCCTACTTAATGGGGCAACTGAAGCTGATGAAGTTTACACAGCTGGAGGTGGTGCGAAGAATGATAAATGGACTAAAATTCGAGAGAGAGTGCTTGGTTTGCCAGTCAGTCGCGCTGTTCAAACAGAAGCTGCTTATGGTGCTGCTCTATTGGCGTTGAAGGGTGCTAGATAATTAGGAAATAATCTAGCTTATGCCTTACTACCACTGCTAGTGTAACTTGAAGTCCCAAATTAGGACTTAGTCCTTATCCTTTCTTGAATTTGTGACTTGTGAATGAGTGCTCTATTTTTTGTGGCTCTCTCTCTCTTTTTTTTTTTAGCATACTAAGTTTATTTTGTTAAATTTTCATCTGTGTTGCTTTTAAAAGGTACTATGTAGTTAAATCTTCGGTAAAACATACAATTTAATTAAATAAATGGTTGTTTGATTTGATAAGAATAATAAAAAATGAGAAGTTGTTTGGTTGACAAAAACATATGTTTTCTAAGAAGTTTTATTTCATACTTTTTAAATTTTTTGTTTTTTTGATAACTTCATACTATGTAATCCTACTTCATACAAATAAAGTTGTTTACCAAGTTCCCACGTAAGGGTTATTTTCGACGATCAACTAAATAACCGTGGTCGAAAATTCTTATCGAGCATAGCCAAACCCAATTTCTCACATTTGTAGGCCACAATTCAAAAAGTCTCTTTATCCTGATACTAAAAGTTTTTTTCCAGACAAATTCATGATGACTTCTACAATGAGCATATGAGATGATCAGGTTTAAGTTTTGCTAGGTGATTTTAGCTCAAGGTCAAAATTTAATTTATTGAACAAAAAATAATACAGAGGGGATTATATGTATTCTTATGATATACTCCCTCCGTTTTTAAATACTTAATTTACTTTTTATTTTCGATCATTTTTAAAGTTGCTCCATTTCTTTATTTGGAAAGTTTTTACAATATTTTATTCATTTCTCTCAACTAGTGGACCCAACATAAATCATATTTTATTAATTTCATATTTTCTCTTCTCCAATTTTCTCAACTATTTTTGCTTTTTACAATTCTTTATTTTTCCACCTATCCAACTATCTCTATATTTTATTACTTTATCCAATTTCTCTTAAAATTTCGCATATTGAAAAAATGGAGGAAGTATTTAAAAATGGAGGAAGTATTAAAGAATGGTAGAATTTTAGTCATAATAGTAGTGCCAAAAATGAGAAACAAAAAATACTGCCTAAAACGTAAATGCTCATGTCAGGCTAATGTCAGCCATATCTATTTGTTGATTTTGGGCATTTTTCCTTGATTTAAGCCGGCTATCCCAATTGTTCTTTATCAAAATCTTAGGGAACATTTATTCTTCATGGGTTAGGGTTTTGTATTCCTTATTTTCTGTTTGATGAAACATAACTTTCTACTTTCACTATGAAGGATTAATAAAAGCAAATAAATACAGTAAATTATATGGCACAAATAATGTCATTACGTAGTATGAAAGTTGGACATGGGTCGACCATACAAGTTTAATTTGAGGGTGGGGTGTGAGTAAAAAAGTCACGAAAATTAAAGTTGTAAAGATTAGTACAGTCTTATTTTAAAATTTTCTTAGCTTTCTAGTGCAGTATGAGGTATAATTTTATTTAACTCACAAGTTGAGTTATAACTTGAGTTTGATTTTTTAAGACTCCGTTAAGACTCTACCAAAATCCATCTACTTTAAAGCTAAAAGGTACAAATTATTTAGTTCGGTCTTAAAACTCGGTACGAGTATATTATGAGTTTATGACATATGTTGTGTCATTCTATTCTATGTTAGGAAAAACTAAGTTTTAAAACTTAGTGTTAGCAGTAATCTTGCTAATTAAAATGAAGTTTGTTTGATCTTAACTATTATTATTGAATATTACCTCTTAATAAGATTTTAGTAACTAAACTAACTAATAGCATCCACATATGTTAAGTTCTTGATTTGTAACCTTCATCGGTTATACGAATGAACGAGGTAATTTTATCTTGTCTCTTAAAATATATTTGTTAGATTAAAGACTTGTTCTCTGATCTTCAACTTGTTTCAGATATTTATTACTTATTCTTTAATAAATTGAGATCAGATCAGACTAGACTAGAAACATTCAGATCAGATTAGAACTTTTAATTATCATTTATTTATTGCTAAATATCGTTAATTACGTATTAAAAAAAATTATGAAAATTACATATTTAAAAAGTTTATAATGAGACGAATCTAATAAGATCCATTTTGATAATGTTTTTCTTTATAAATTATTACTAAAATGCGGTTAAATTTTAGTCAAATTATTGAATCAGATCAGATCAGATCATAAAAATTCAGATCAGACCAGATAAGACCTTAATAAATTCAGACCATATCTCCTTATTTCAGGTGAATAGAACAAGTCTTAAGATGAACATTTTTCCACTAACCTAAAGACAAAATATAAAGTAATTGTACTAAATTGATTGATACGAGTTTCTCTATACATTGAAACTAATAAATTGTCTTAGAAAAAAACATACCAAAGTGAATTATACAATAATATTGTAATATGTTATACTCCGTATAACGAAATAAGTATTAATAAGTTAAACAAAAATACACTTAATATTAACTCTACCTCTACAATTTTACACCTCTCCTCCCCCCTTAATAAAAATAAAAATGTTAGAAATGGATTAGCAATTACTCAACCATTTCAATTACAAAAGGAGTAGGATTTATCTACAAAATTAGGAAAAAAACCTTCATTTCTAAAAAAAAAAAAAAAGGATAAAAAGATTTGATAGTGGGATTGTAGATAAGTCATAGAGAGATTACTAATGATATGACTACTGACACTCTTCTTTTCTTTGCCTCTTCTCCTTCTTCAAGATTGCAATTTTCCTTTTAATTAAAAATTTATATTTTTGGAAAACCCAAATACCTAAGATAACCTTTTTTTTAATAAAATAAAATAAAGTTACACCACCAAATATTATTTCCTCTTTTGTTCCTGCACCTTAAAAAGACACCCCTGAAAAACATTCTACACTTTCTCTTGAGTAAGATAAACCCTAAAACTCAGACACTCAAAAAAAAAAAGAAGAGAGAAAGAATGAGGGGAAGAATTAGAAGAAGAAGAAGAAGCTACTTAAATCCTGGTGCCCCTGAATTTCATCCCTCTTTTTATTCTAATAACAATAACAACAATAATACTAGTATTAATTGTTATTACAACTATAATTATAATCTTCTTAATTTCCCTTACTATTCAAGTCTTCCTCCACTACCACCACCATCTTCAGTTGTACTTGCTCAAAATTACCAAAACTACCCTTATCATCATCAAGCTTTCATCAGCCAATCTAGCCCAATAAACCCTATGCAATTGGGCCAGCTACCTACAGCTCCTCCCTTGGGCCATTTCAGGTCTGGACCATCTCCGGTATGGCCCAAAAGCCCAGCTATCGGCCGCAACGAAGATGGTAGTGGTGGTGCAACAGGAAGATCAAGAAGTAGAATAAGGGATATTATTAATAACAATGAGATGAAACAAGGGTTTGATACTAGTAATAATAATAGGAATATAGGAAGAGGTTATATAGGAGGAGAGAGAAAGATAGAAGGTAGAGTGGTAATGGCGGTGAAGCCTAATGGAAGTGAGACTACTGCTATGATCAGGAACATTCCTAATCAATATACGTATGTTTTTTTTTTTTTTTTTTCTTACTTTCTAATTTATCTCTTTTTATTTATTTTGTCATTTTTATATAGCTTTATTGATTCATTTTTTTTTTTTTTATATATTTATGATTTTAGTACTCTGTAACTTTTAACATACTCTCTAGAAATTTCCTTCAAAAAAAAAATAAAATAAAAAAAAATACATACTCTCTAGTAATTAATATTGATTTTTGTTTTTTTAAAATTAGAGGTTATAAAAATTTATGATATAGTATAATTTGACAATGCCATGCGTTAAATCCATGTTTTTTTTTAATTAATGAGGAGATTCGTTATTTGAATTTATGCATATTTTTTTTGTAATTTTATATTTATGCTCAACCCAAGTAACATTTGGTAAATTTTTTGATGTCATTTGTTTTTTTGATCAAATCTCTTAATTTTGTTAATATATTGATTTTTGTTTTTTAAAAATAGAGCTTATAAAAATTAATGTATATTTAAATAATTTGACAATGCTGCTATGCGTTAAATCCATGGTATTTTTTTAAATTAATGAGGAGTTCATCAATTGAATTTATGCATATTTTTGTGTAATTTTATATTTATGCTCAACCCAAGTAACATTTGGTAAATTGTTTGATCAAATCTCTTAATTTTGTTCTTACTTGAACAGTGATTGTCTCATATGTAGTAAGAGTAAAAAAAATTCAAAGTTGGATCAACATTTAAAGACAGTACATTATGCAAGCTAGATGAAATTTAATTTCACTTATAAATTTCAATTTGCTATTTCATTGATAAGCTCCATGGTTTTTGGCATTAATTGCTTTATTTATTATTCTATAATTTTTTTTTCCAATTTATAATTTTAAGGAATATTCATATTGTTTGCTCATTTTGGGAAAATGTGCTAGGGAGTAATTTTTTTTGTTGGATATTAGAATGTAATTATTGCCTTGAAAAACACAAATAAATTTGCTTATTTAAAAAAAAATAAAAAATTGACACATGCATGCAATGAATAATATATTTTCTAAGACACGTTTGATTGATTGATTTACTGGTTTAGCCCACTTCAGAATGGTCTATGACGTAGCTTAACATACTAGAAGTAGATAGTACTCCTAGTAATACAGTATAGGTTAATCATAGGTGGTTCTGGGCCGGAGCGAGGTGGTCGACGGAACAGGGCCCCTAAATATGAGGGGCCCCAAAATATAGATATATGTAATTAAGTTTAATATGATATCATGAAATTGCAGTTGGTGTAGTGGTTAGAGCAATTGTATTGTGTATACAAGGTCTTGAGTTCGAGACAGTTGGCTTCGAATTCATCCAAATACTAGTACATTGAATGTAGCCTCCCTCTAGAAACCTCCGCCGAATTAAACCAGCAAACCCAATTTTTTTCCCAAAAATTCAGTTTTTTTTTCTCCCAAAAAATTTTCAATCTACTATTCTAATTCCAAAAAAACTCTATATCTTCTAAAACTCTATATTTTCTTATTTACTTTCTATTATTATCTTCATTTTCTTCAATTATTCAATTAATTTTCAAAATTTTTCATCTCCCAAAATTATTTTTCCCCATATTGGTTCATAATTTCAACGGTTTTGTCATTGGTGAAGACTTTCGATTCGACGCTTGCTGTGTACGAAGGCTTTTGCAATTTAAAACAGGTTAACAGGTTTAATTTTATTGTTTTTATTTATTTTTTTTCTAGGGAATTTTTAGTGCAATATTGTTGAATTTGAGGTTAATACCGAACTGGGTAGAATTGAAAATGAGGAAATGCAATGTACGTTGTGTTTAAATGGGGATTTTTGTTTGTTGTTATATGAGAGAGAATTTCCCAATTAATTAAATTGCCAAGTTTTTTGTGATTCTTCTGTTTTCACTCTTTCTCTCTTAAAATAGAAAACCCAGTTGATAAATTGTTGATTGAACTTCATTTTACCCAGAAAATTAGTGACTTAAAGACTAGATATAAAAAGGTCTCTACTAATCAAAATAACATTCTAGTATTCTACAGTACATAATAACAACATAGCAAATAAAAAAAGTGAAGGGCTAGAACTAATACGACAGAACTTAATACTTCGTATCACATTTTGAATCAAGAAGCATAACATCAGCAAAATATTGTAAATGGAATGCACTACAGATAAAAAGCGGAGACAACACATTTGCACAGTGCTAAGCAGGAAAATTTAATTTTGACGAATTTTCTGATGTAACGAATTTTTTTATCAAATAAAAATTGGGTATTAAATTTATCGAGTAGAAGACCCCATTTTAAAAAGTTGAACAGGGCCCCAAAAATAATTTGCAATTTTAGCCCCGGCACTGAGGTTAATAGGTGTAATAATTAAATTATAATAAGTTGAACAGGGCTCCAAAAATAATTTGCAATTTTAGCCCCGGCACTGAGGTTAATAGGTGTAATAATTAAATTATAATAATGATTATATTTCTAAGCATATACTCAACGTTTAACTTGTTTCAGGCGTGAAATGTTGATCAAGTTTTTGGATGAATTCTGCCGCATTGAGAACCAAAGATTGCGCCCTAATCATAATCGTCAACCTCTTGCATATGATTTCCTCTACTTGCCTATTGATTTCGTGTAACGATTTTATTTTTTGATCGACTATAATTCATTTATTTTCTTAATTTGAACAAAGTCTTCATTTCGGGTTAGTTTTATGATTTGATGCATGTTGATGATATATATAATTCCATTGGTTTATTAATTAATAGGAGTGGTGCTAACAAAGGGTATGCCTTTGTCAATTTTACCCATGCGATCGCGGTGTGGAAGCTACACCTTGCTTGTAGTAATCAACCCTGGAGTCATTGCAAATCTCCTAAGATTTGTAAAATCAATTATGCCTCCATTCAGGTATATTATATTATGATTAAAATACTAAAATATCTTAATACAAAGGTCTCCTAATATCAATTAGATACATGTCATACATGGTTACATGATCAGTGCAATAATCCATCTCTCACAAGTTGCAACCCCTACAATATAGTGAAATTTTATGGCAATTGCAAGCAAAAAAAAAAAAAAAAGGAGTTTTAAATTTTTACGAGTATAAATTTTCTAACTTTAAATCATGTATAGCAATAATAGTACCATAGTGACGATAGTTGAGGATTATATTATACTTTGTTGTATGCCTACCCTAACTCGAATCCTTAAAGACGAGTTTATATTATTGGTATGTGATATGGCTTGTTTTCCCCTCGAGTTGCTTCTATAATTTGACTATATATATGTAGGATTTTAGGTTTTGTGGTTGACTTTCTCTAATCCAATCTCCATTGGATACAATAATGTATCATTTGAATTCTAGTTAGCTTGATTGAGATTTGAGGCAAAACCATGCATTTATATGGTGACATTGTACCTTTGAAGTTGAGAGTTTGATTTTAAATTACCAACCTACCTCTATTTTAATGCATGACCACTCTACATGTCTTTTAGGTCATATTTTACTCCTTAGGTACTCTTTACCCTCATAATTAATTAATTACTCCAGAAGTGTTTGTAATTAGGGTTCATTAGGTATCATATCAAGACGATTTAGTAATTTTATTGAATTTAATTAGCTTGAAATTGTTACGTACTATACCATTACAATACCTTAGAAAATATATGTAAGAAAATGCTAGCTTAGATCACTACTACTCTATTTGATCGCATACTCTTATTATGTTCTAATTGTGCAATTTGGCTAGTTTGCTTGCGTAGTGGTAAACTGACATTTGTAACTTGTTTTATTACACAACGAGCTTGAGAATCTTGTGTAACCGTATGCTAATTTTTTATAATTTTGCAGGGCAAGGAAAGGCTAGAGGAACATTTTGGTAGAAGTAGGTTCATCTGTAACCATGACGATTATTTACCAGTTTGCTTTAGCCCTCCTAGAGATGGTTCTGGTGCTTCAGTGGCCGAAACTACAATTGGCACCCGTATCTCCTCCTCATCCCATCCCAAAAACTAATCATTCGTTGTACTTAATTAACTCTCAGGTCTAGCTAGTTTGAGTGATGATAGTCTAATCTCTAGATTATCATTATGGACGACTTTTGGAGCTTATATATGTAGGTTTTGGAGGGTGGAACTCGGCGCCTAATCTATGTCAAATCTTCAAAAGAAGGATATGTTGGATATAACTCCGAAAATACACTCGACTATACGAAGTTTATTTTCAGTCTTATGTCCAGCAATTGGCATTGGCAGGTGGTTGGTTCCACCCTTTTTTTTCAACTTCTTGGTAATGTGTAATTGTAATTCCACTCGATCTTTCTGCTGTGTATACTGCATGTAACATATTTTTGAGTCCTTGAATTTTAATTGAAGCTTTCTTTTGAAGGTGGGCTATACTTTTTTTGGTTGATTTGACATGATAATTGTAGCTAGGGTAAAGTTGTGTCCGAGGCACGAAGTATATTGCGTAGGATGCATTCAAAATTGCCTTGACAAAATCTTCACCTTTACAATTTCTTATCCAAGGTACATGAAATGTAGCCACACGCTATGCAAATGGTGTGTTCTATTACTTGATTTTTATGCATAAGATCTTATGTAATATGGAGTAACGTGTAAATACAACATGTAAAGAACTTAACATACTTCCTTTGTTTTTGGTTGACACATTTCTTTATTCACGCTTGTAAATGCACGAATTCAACGGTTGATATCTTTAATTATCGTTAAACATAATTTATAAACAGTTCACATTTTAAAATAATAAATCGAGACAAATCTAACAAGATCATAATACATGACTATATTACTTATTATTTCGTATTTACTTCGTTTTAATCACAAAACATTGTCAAAGGAGAATATACAATAATGCTAAAATCAAAATGTAACAATATAAAACATAAAAAATATAGCTAAGTACGAAGTATATTTAAAAAATGGGGCGTTCCGGGAATCGAACTCGGGACCTCTCGCACCCGAAGCGAGAATCATACCACTAGACCAAACGCCCTTATTGATAATCTTACACAACCTTTCTAGTAAATTTAAACAAAAAAGGATAAATTAGTTAATTACATAACCTCCAATTTTCTGCCATTTTCGGATAAATAAAAAAAATAAAAAATGGCAACCACCGCAACACTAACACAATTCCTCCTCCACCGCCATATCTTCCGCCCACTCCGCCTCTCAACCACCGTCCCTTTCTCTCTCCTCCACACTCCTAAACTCTCTTTCTCTCTCTTAAAAACTCAAACTCAACCACTTTCTTCTTCATTTCCCCTGTTTTGTTCCCTTGAAGAAAACATAAACATTAGTAATTCCGACGATTTTAAGGAAAATGAAGCAACCCCAGAACCTAAAATGGCTAAAATTAAGGTTGGAGATTTGCCCAATTTGACTGTTAAAGAAAAGAAGGATCTTTGTTCTTATGCTAATAGTCTTGGTGATAAGCTTAAGTCTCAACAAGTGGGTAAATCTGGTGTTACTGATAATGTCGTTTTTGCTTTGTCTGAAACTCTTGAGGCCAATGAACTTCTCAAGGTTTGATTTTTGTACTTTGTTCTTGTTTTGTTATTTTGATTGTTGTTTGTTTTGGGTTTTTTTGTGTGAAATTGTTGAATTTGTGTTTTTGAGGTTTTACATTTAAGGGTGAAATTTTAGTACTGTTTATGATTGAATGAATATGGGAATTTGTGGAATTCGAATTTGCTTGAATTTGATTGTTTATGGAATTTTTCATTTGGGAATTGGGAATTGAGTTTCAGGGGTTTAGGGTTTATCATGTGGTGGTAGTAGTTTTGTTTTGGATTTTTTGTGTGAAATTGTGGAATTTTTTTGTTTTTGAGGTTTTACATTTAAGGGTGAATTTTTAGTACTACTATGGTTGAATAAATATGGAAGAATTTGATTGTTTATGGAATTTTTGATTTGGGAATTGAGTTTTAGGGGTTTAGGGTTTATCATGTGGTGGTGGTGGTAGTGGTAGTTATGTTATAGAATTATGCTTGGTAGTAATTTGCTGATGGGAATGGGGTTTTGATTTAGTGTAATGATATTGGAAAGTTGGGGCTTGGTTTAGTAGCACCAAAAGAAAAGGATTTTGTTGTAGGAACTATGGAATTGACAATTTAGATTATGCTTAGAGTAAGAGAAAAGGAATGATTTAGGGGGTAGTAAGAATTTATACTTAATTGCGAACAAGAAGGAACGGAGGGAGTAGAAGTTAACATAATGTGGGTGGAGGTGGTGGTGGTGGTGGTTCATACAACCTATGGCATTTTATGTGATTACCTTGACTTTTTTCATAAATGGATATTGGAGAAGTGTGAAATAAGGTGGTTTTGGGGTTTGGATTGTGAGTTGCACTATTCATAAATCTTGGGGATTAGTTAGTATGTTTGAATTTTCGAAGAACCTGTCATCCTTATTTAGGACTTCGGAATTGGGAGTTATAGATAACTCTCATTGGTGAGTGATCATTCTCCTCAACTATTCTACAGAATAGTGAATCCCATAATAGCTTTTACCCAACTGTTTGATTCCATTGTCCCAAGCATATCTTTATGGTGTTTTTGTTCCATTTTGGGATGGAATTTTTTATTCGGGCATTTGATGCTTTGTTTGGATAATGTGGTCCATTGCGTATGTGACTGATGTACAAGTATAACGAATGTATTCTCTGGTTCATTGTTCATAGTATCTGGTTTATTGGATAGTGAATTTCAGGAGTTGCAAAGCTTCAAGGCTTGCTGATTTCATGAGATGATTTGTTGATGCAGGTTAATTTAATTTCTGCTGCAATCCGTAAATTACTGTTGTGGTATTGTTTGAATGATTGTGGTGCTAAAAGATATCCTTATCTTGCTATGTTCTCACTTCTCAGACAAGTTTACATATATGTAAAAACTGCAACCTAGACAGTGCAAGAATCTTCTTCTTCAAATACCACAACTCTTCTTCAAATAACATGTTCAAGTAGTTAAATTTGAATAACACAACTCTTCTTCAAATACCAATGAAGATATCAAGTCACTGTAAATGTTTGAAGACGCTTGCTGTGGCAACTTCATATGTTTTGGTTAGACGTTATCATTGCTTTTGTTTGGACACATGACACTGTGTCTAGTAGAGTTAGTGGATTTAGCTTGGCATCCTGGATACCCCTCCATGGTTTGATTTCCAAATTCCAAAGCTAGTAATTTGGCTTTAAATTCATTTTGCAAGATCTTTTTTTTTTTATCAACCTTGTAAATGTTGTGAACTCGTGACCAACGCAACTTTTTTTTTTTTTTTTTTCTTTTCTTTTATGGCAGGATGAATGCAACTGTTTTATCAAATCTCTTCTTCCTGTACTTGTATAAAAAATGATTTTTTTTTTCTTTTTAATTTCGCTGAGCTTGTTTACATTGTATGTTAAAACAGCTTAAGATACATAGAACCTGCCCAGTCGAGCTGGATGATGTTGTTAAGCAACTAGAACTTGCTACTGGATCTGTTGTTGTAGGCCAGATTGGTCGAACAGTCATATTGTACCGGCCAAGCCTTACAAAGTTAGAGGTCGAGAAGAAGAAAGAGCGTTCTCGTAAGCTTTTTGCTCAGAAGAGGGAGAGGGCTCAGGCCGCTTTCATGGTACATTTTACACCCAACAGGGCAACATATGTGATCAATGTGAGTGATAAATCAATTTTTTACACATTAGTTTCTGATTAAATTTTTCTATGTGAAAAATTGCAGAAAAGAGAACAATTTCCAAAACGTCCAGGAGGTCCAGGTCGAGGGCAGTTTGGATATCGCAGATCCGAGAAGGTTGCCTAATAGCTTACCTGTTTGCTATTGTTGCTCCAATTATTAGCATCACCTGTCATAGTGTAGATCATTTTTCCCCAATTTATGCCACTTCTGTAAAATTTATCTATGAGTATAATCTCAAAATGCTTATGTGCTTCTTGAAGCTGTTCCCTTTTGTATTTATAGAAGATAAATCAGTTTAAGCTTTAGCAAGTGCAAGCCGATATGAATATTTCTTTCTTCGTCTATTGCCAAACAAGATAACTCATATCATTGCTGCTAGCTTAGTATCATTGCTGCAAGTATCATATCATAAGCAAGATAATTCTATTAATGTCAACTCTTCCCAAACGCCTTTATAGAGAGATTCTCCTTAAATGGGGTAAGAGATACCACAATAAAAACGTCTACTCCTATAAGTTATGCATGTCAACTCATTCAGCTTCAATTACCAACTTCGCCTGACCACCAATCTGAACTGCACCCAATCATCATACTATATGAGAATAACGGGATTGGTCTCTCTTTGCACGAGTGCATACATAAGATTTAGGATATCCATTATATACTCAAGTGTACAGCATGATACATGCTGAAAATTGACTAGGATCCGAACCCTTTTTTGACCTAATGAGACTCATAAAAAATATGGCCCACAAATCCGAAGTACACTAAAAATCGGCCCAGAAAAGCTGATACATCCAAACTCCCAATTCTTAAGGGCTCCACAAAAAACCTTTTATTCTTATTACCTGATAAAGTATAATCAGATTCTGGTTCAGACTTCAGACAGAAATAAGTCAGATGCAAACAAACAGAGGAGAGAGAAACAGATAGATCTGACAAATGGATTCTCGTCAATTAGCAGCTCTACTCTCTTCTCTAATCTCTCAACTCACCCTCTTAATCCTTCTCCTTTACCCTTCTTCTCCCATTCCCTCTATTCCCGATTCCAATTCCCATTCCTCTGATTTCCAAACAATTTTTTCTCTCCTCCACCACTTCCTCTCCTCCTCCGAAATCGCCGCTTCCCTTTCCCTCCGCCGCAAACGGAGGCGAACCCATTTATCGGATCCCGATTCCGACCCGGATTCCCTTTCCGGGTCATCCAAACTCGCCCGACTCGCCCGAGTCGACTCATCCCCTGACTCGTTCCGGGTCTTCTTCAAAATGGCTCCTTCCACCTTCGAGTGGCTTTCCGGGTTGCTCGAGCCACTCCTCGAATGCCGGGATCCAGTTGGATTGACTTTAAACCTCTCAGCCGAGCTACGGCTCGGTATCGGGTTATACCGATTGTCAACCGGGTCGGACTATTCGGAGATTGCGACCCGGTTTCGGGTCACTGACCAAGTTGCCAAATTTTGCTCTAAACAACTTTGCAGGGTATTATGTACAAACTTCAGATTTTGGGTTGGGTTCCCTAACTCGGCCGAGTTGAACTCAGTGTCCCAAAAATTTGAGGACATTACAGGGTTACCCAATTGTTGTGGGGTGATCAGTTGTTCAAGGTTTAATCTCAGTACAGAAGAGAGTATTGCTGCTCAAATCGTTGTCGATTCGTCGAGTCGAATTCTGAGCATTGTAGCCGGATTTCATGGTCATAAGAGCAACACAAAGGTGCTAAAATCAACAACATTATACAAAGATATACAAGAAGGGAAAATATTGAACTCAAAACCTGTTTATTTAGGTGGGGTTGGAATACCTCAATATTTGGTTGGAACAAATAATGAGTACCCTTTACTACCTTGGCTTATAATCCCATATGATGACCCTGTACCTGGATCAAATGAGGAGAGGTTCAATGCTGCTCTTCGAGTACCGCGAATTTCGATGCTTAAAACGGTTGCTAGTTTGAGGAATTGGGGTATATTGAGCAAGCCTATTGAGGAGGATTTTAGGAGTGCTGTTGCATATATTGGTGCTTGTGCTATTCTTCATAATGCTTTGTTATTAAGGGAGGATTATTCAGGATTATGTGATGATTTAGAGGATTATACTGTTAATGATCATGGGTTAGTACAATTCGGCTCTAAAATGGAGGAAATTTCTGCTGATGGATGTCTAATCAGAGGTGCATTGGCAACAAAACAGTGAAGAAATGATTCAATATGGACAGATTTTTTCATAGGATTTTTTTTTTTTTTTGATTGATTTTTTCATCACTTGATAATACAAATTTTTCATTGAGTGAAAATTGTTATTTATTTTCCTTTTTCATGAATTTTAGTTAATTAGATGATGATATTTGCCGTTTAATTAATCTGTATACGATACGTAATATAGTAGGTTTTAGGTCAGATGATCTAACTATACGGCTTTTGATTGCTTAGTCATGGAATAATGATATTTTAATGTTTCTACTATAGGAAGATACTTATATTAATGGACATATGAATCACCCCTTTGAAGGGTTCCTCATCTCATTTCAATGGACCATCTTACCTTAAAAAAAAAAAAGTTTAAAGATATGATATGATTTGAAACTTTATTATATGGATTTAATCATAATGCAGGGTATCTGAAATCAAGTCCTCCCTAAGCAGCTACTTGATTGGGCTGTTGGAAAAAGTTAAGATAAAGATATCTTAAATATACCTTTCCAAAGCTATAGTCTAGCACTGATTTAATATTTTAATTATGGTGTGTTTTAGTCAAAGGAATGAAATCACTATTTGTAATAATTAATTAGTGAAAAAATGAATGTAGGAAAGCACAAAAGCACCCTATGACCCTTCAGAACAGAGAGGACCAGAATTAGGAGGAAAGGTGTAATCACATATTGGGATTAGGTTGTGCAATAGTTAATTAGTAATGTACATTAAACATTAAATAAGGCCCTTATGCCCCCGCGCCCTGTATTAGGTATTTCAAAGTACCAAACACTTTGTAGAAGGCCGAGGGGAAGGAAAGACCTCAATTGGGTTCTTTCCGGTAAGGCCAATTTCTGTATCGTTCTAATTTTATCAGAATTCTGTGAAGGGGTGAACCAACAAAACCCAGAGCGGTTCTTTTCTAAAATATGTATCCTTTTGAAAATTGTTGGCTGCCCCTATTGACACTTCTTGTTACAGTTATCATTCTGCTTTAAACAGGCCTATGATTGCTCAATGAACTGTATAACTTTCAAGGGCTTCTCAATGTTTCAATATCTGATTTAGTATGGATAATATGCATCTGGCTTGGTTCCGGTCTTTGAAGCATTAATATGAACAACAAGCTTACACAGAACAGTAGAATTACACTAAGTAATAGTATACAAATCAACTATCATTTGCTGTATAGATGCACCGTGTTACCAAGTAGCCGAAGTAGGTAATCTTCTAAGCCTCATTTGGGCTACAGAAATTGATGAACGCGACTTCTAGACCATATGCTGTGGTTTTAAAAACACCCAAAGCACCAAATTTTATCGTTAAAAAATGTGGCTGGTACAGCATCTAAGCTGTTTTTAGCTCAGACAAATTAAAACGGAGAAGATCCTCTGAAAACAGTATCCCACTCGGAGAAAGAAGGCGTTGTAGAGCAATAAAAAATCGTGCCTAGAAATTGAAGGTGGAGGGGGAATGCGGTCAGGCAATGTTAGATGATGTATTAAAAAGGAGTGCTGAAAATTTGAAGGAGAAAGAATTACCCATTGAAATCCAATTAGAGCAGTCCAGCAGCCTACCAAACCTAAACCTTGGCTTCTCACAAGCTGTCATAGAACAAATTGTAAATGTGTTAAATTATCTTGAGGGAAGCTAAGTGTTTGGGAAATTTAGATGGAAAAGAGGAAGACAGAGAATAATTGTACTGAATATCAGCAAGAGGCCGATAAATAAATATCAGAAAGTTCAGCATCGCAATACCAGCAATACAAAAGAGCCCAAGACAAAACATGCACCCATTGATGTACTAATGAATTTGAGGTCCCTTCCAGCCTGCATGTCAAAGGCGATAAACCAATCCAATGTCAACAACCATAGGATGATTAAGACTATGACAGTATGACTTTTAAAATTGATTCACGAGTGCAGTTGTTTATATGGTGACACAATGACTAATTACTTGACAATTTACAGTTCGACAACGAAATGATCGAAATGAAATCTCAACTCTTACCAGCAATGTTCCCTCACAGCTGAGTATACAAGGAGTCACACATAAAGAGAGAAAGAATGGAACCCATACTTTGTGCATCTGCAGTCATCCCAAATTTTGACTTGTGTTAATCTACATGTGTTTGCAAGTCCAACAAGCATTACCATTCATGTATTTTTATAAAGGAAAACAAAACTAACCTCTGCTATAACTGCGGGATCAGGGGTGAAAACATTGGGAGCCAAGAAAGGAATGGATGTTGCAACAATGCCTAGAAAAAGTCCGACAGAAGCCCCTATGATCAAAAGAGATTTCAGCAGATCTCGGGCCTGTATAAGTTAAACATTCACAGCATCAGTAATATAAGTAAACTCCTAAAAAGACTTGTACATTGAAGTGTCATTCAAAATGTCCTCAAATTATGACTTAATGATGAATAATGACTATGATTACTATAAGAGGCACCTACTCGGAGCTAAAACAAACCAGACCACCAGGATTTGGTGGCAGTCTTGTATAAAAAGGACTGGAAACTGACTGTTAGAATACCTTAACTAAACTTCGGTTTACTCCATACAGCAGCTCTGGCATGAATGACTGAGCTGTCTGAGAAAGGGGTTCACCCCATACTGCACACATGTGGAATATTTGAGACAGGACCTACAAGGTTTTCAGTTGGCAATACATTAGCCACTTTAATTTAGCTTCAGTACAGAGCCAAATATTATTCAAAAGCCTCAAACAAATTAGGCTCACCTGATGAGCAGCAATTGTATGCGTTCCCATGGAGGTAGCGAAGTATATTATCAAAGAGTAAAAGGACACCTAAAACAACATTAACATATGCTGAATGTCAGCTGATTTTTACTTCAAAATAGCTATAATTCAAACTTGATGCTACTTAAATTCACAACAAACCTTTGAAACTATAGTTATAAATACTGGGGCAGCAATTGCAAATATTTCTCGAAGTTCAGGGAGCGTTGGAACTGCAATAGAATACCCATTGTATCCTTTCTTATTTAAAGCATCAATCATCGTGTAGGCTGCAACAATCTGAACAAAGAATATTCCAGGAATTGAGATCAGAGACACAAAAGCAAAATAACAACAGTAAGAGATAATTTATAGTAGTAGAAAAAGAGCGGGATAGCAAAGGTAAGAGAACAAAGAAGATAAACGGACTGAGCTCACCTGTGATATTGCAGTTGCCCATGCTGCACCAGCAATCCCGTAGCCAAGGAACATGCAGAGTACTATATCACCAACACCATTTAAGACACTTGCAACTACCAAGGCCTTCAAAGGTCCCATTGAATCTTTCATGCCCAGACTAATAACAAATGAGAAAATATATGTTTTAACATAGAGGTAAAATAGAGATTAACTTTTACGCAGGGAACATCAAGTACCTTGCACTCTGAGCAACCCATCCTACAAGAATAGCAGGCCATGCCAAAGCTCGAATCTAGCAGGCAAAAGAAAAAGTCTTTGACTATCATCATAGGAAGAAGGATGTGTGCGCAAATAAGACTCAACAAATCAGATTTAAGCAAACCAAAATACCATGATTTGGAGGTAGAAAGTTCAGAGCTATCCATGTAACAAACAAGTGCATTGAAGCAAGGAAACATGGAAGCACCTTGTTTTAGATACAACAGTATCCAAGGGATGAACATTTGAAGATTGTTATATCAAGGATACATATGTTCACTCGTGTTACCTTAGTCATAATACAAATATACAAAGCCATATGTACTTGAAAAATAGCAAATGTATCAGTCTGTTTCATGAACTCGATATGTTTAACATCTCTAGTGTAAGTACACATTGAAACATCAGTACATCACATTCCTGTGTGATCAAAACAATTTGAAAACAATGCCAAAATTTGTCACAGGTACTCCTAATTTACAACTTTTTCCTCAATTACAGACCAGACCAATACCTCTTCAGCAGCGCAGGCAGTTATTGCCCCAAATAGCTACCAAACCAACTAGAAAAAAAGACACAAGACACAGAAGTGATCATACTATAGTAAAGTAAGTAAACAAACCTGAATATAAGTATTTGCAGCAGGCAAAAGGTGCACATTCTGTGATCCAGAAAAAGCTGCAATTATAGCAAGCAAAAGCTGCAATTATAGCAGAAAGAATAAAACTTACATGGAAGAAGCGAAAATGATCAAGCATTTTACTGAAGATCACGTAGAAACAGAAATTGTTCTTATACCAGTTTTATTTACCAGTTAAAGCCCATGAACCAAACAATTTCGTAAATATAAGCATAGACACTCCACAAGCAAAACCCACAAACAGCAAAATTGATATTTGATGCTGCACTTGCTTCTCATCCTGCATTAATCACACACATTACACTTCATTGATCACCGTGTACAAAGTCATACAAAAAATAGTATACACTCGCTTGTTACTAAAATAATAGGCGACATTTCTATTTTGGATCCCCTCAACTCAAAATGCGCACTAAGACAAAGTAATTTAAACTTTGAAATTTCGAAAATCACCCTCCACATTACCCTAAACCAACCATTTTAAGAAATTACAATCTTTTGGCCTTCTAGACTGTAAAATTTTTAACAACTTAGACGTAACAATAGTCGTGTAATGATATCTTAACTCGATTCCTTGAAAAACATACGTGTGATAAAATGTGGCCTATTATTTAAAAATAAAAGTCATGGTGTAACACTACTGTAACTAATTAGTGAAAAGAGTAACGCACCTGTCTAGCAAGTGAAGTTGCAACCATATTAGATGTTGCAATTGAAAGAAACATAAATACATAGCTCATATAATCACAAAGAACAGTTCCAGGACCTGCACATTCAACATTACATCAACCCCACTTAATTAGATCATAATCACAAATTCACAATATAAGATTATTTAAAACCCCAAAAAAAATCATAAACATAAAAATGATATTACCCAAAGCAGCAAGTTCAATGGAGCTGCCTTGACCAATAACAGCAGTATCAATGAGACTCATCAAAGGCCCACAAATCCAAAGCCCAGTAGCAGGCCCAGAAAACTTGATAATCTCAATCATTTGATTCCATAAGCTTGGACTGGTGGATTTCTCAGTTGTGGGGTCCACCAAATCAGGGTTTTCTTCTTCATCCCTAAAATCAGATTCACTGGAAAGTTCTTGAGCAGGGGTGATGCAGTGAAGTTTCTGGGAAATGTGATGAGTTGGGTGACTGAAAGTTGGTAACTTTAGTGGATTTGAAGAGGGTTTTGAGCGGAAATGTGAGGAAAGGGAAGAGGTAAAAGAGGGGAAAGGGAAATACGTTGGGTTTAGAGTTAAGGGTTTGAGTTGAATGAGAGGGGAAAAGGGAGTAATGGCTTTGAATTGCATTGTTTGTTTGTTTGTTTGTTTAGTACAAGGAAAATGAAGAAGATGATGAAGAAAAGGAAAGAAAGTAACTTAGGAAGTGTTTGATTTTGGAAAGAGAGGAGAAAGGGTAGTTGGTACTTGTAGTCTTGTGGAAGTTGATATCCTTTGAAAGATCCAAGAATGACCTTAATGATATTAAAGTGATAGGAGTATAATGTTTTGTAAGTTTGTAACAAGGTTAAATTTTGTCAAAGCACAAGTGCTCCAGGGATATTGTTAGATGTACCTGCTTTCTGTAATAGGTTTAATGTGGATGTAAAATGAGTAACTTCATTTTTCAACTCTTTTTTCATATGATTAAATAGGAAAAAAAAATGACAATAGTAAACTTAAAGTCACTGATCGATAAATTGAAGGGAGCTCTAGTCACACATTTTATTTGCATCACTTTCGAACTTGACATTATCACGCACAAGCTATTGTATCACACTTAGAGTTAAACAAGCAACATAGCCTCTCCTAAGTAGACCGCGTTTTCCACCCAACTTTGTATTGACGGATAACCACCACGACACCACCACGGCACCGCCATTTTCACCTAACCACCACACGTCCACACCCAAGCCAACACCAATACCTATCCCCCCTTCCCTCCCATATAATTGGTGAAGTTTAAGGGATCCACTAACACAACACTATTCTAGGTAGTTCTATATTTCTTGTTTGACTTTGACAGTTGATGGTCAAATATTTACAAAATTCATTTTGGTTATTCAAACACGTTACTCGAACTAAGATGGAAGGCAACGAAAAGCTTCTGGTTATAAAGTTAATAAGTAGGAGTACTTTACTACTTTGTATCATATTGACTTCAACACCTACCTTTATACATGAATCTGATAAGTCTTGCTCATTTGGGTGTGCATTGTACATTTATACCTTAATACAAATTGATATAGAGGCATTCTAAAGTTAATAGATGAAAGGTGAAACAACGATGAATTATGGACTTACGGAGTAATGATAAATCTTGTGATTCTATAATTTGTACGTCTTTACATGATTGAAATCTACGGCTACAATCAATAAAATTTTATTTTATACCGAAACATTACGGACTTACAGAGTAATGATAAATCTCGTGATTCTTTAATTTGTTCGTCTTTACATGATTGAAAATTTGTAATTTATAGCTACAATCAGTAAAAATATTTTTTATACTGCATATATTACTTTATAATCATTATTCCAAAAACAATTACATGATGGTGGAATACTACAAGTCTATAAGCATACTTCCCTACAGCAACACTGGTGGAAGCAGAGCAACTACATATCTTGCGCTTACAGATTCTCCAACCATTTTGGGCCCTTTTCTTCTTCCACCACAACTGCTAATTCCTATTGGGTCAAATGAAATAATGCATAGCCTAGTGGGCTCCACTCCATTCTTGCCACTCAATCAATGTGACTGCTAGTGTCTCACAACTGATAAAGAGGAAAAATGCTTTCACTCGGTCTTATTATTCACTAATTGGTTTTAATATGAAACCTCCTTGGGCCTTATTTGTGAACCAAATTGGTCTCCTCTTCCTTATATGGATTGCCTACCCCGTTTCATGTTATTTTAAAATTTAACATCGTATTAGAGCTCGAGTTGTGGGTCTTCTCTAAACTTTCTAATTAGCTCTAAAGTTTTAAGGAAGGGGTAACTCCTAGTCTCCTACCATAACCATTGATTTTTTTATGGAACTTTCTTGGGTCTTGTTTTTGGATCAAACTCTTTTCCTCCTTATTTTAGGTTGTCTAGGCTTGTTTCATATTATCCTAATATTTAACAACTAGGAGTAAAAACCGAATTTCAATATAACCCGATACGATTTACAGTATCAAAGAGATAATCAAATAAATTGAAATTATTTGAATATCTAATCCTCTATCGAAGTTATAATTTGTTGATGTAAATTTTTAAACCCCTCATTTAAATAGAAACTTTTGTGTACAACATAGATATACTTCACTACAAAAATTAGAGTACATCAAACAATTTTAAGATGTCTTTTAAAGTTTTAATTAAATTTGGGTAAATTTTGACCTAGTCTAGGGGTTAATTTAAAATTGATACGATTTTAATGTAATTAGATCACAAGATAAGATTTATAAAAATAAAATAATTAGCTTCACACGGCGTGACTTAACTTCAACTCACTTTATCAATAAAAGAACTTTTACATATATTGGGATAACTATTGGTTTTTTTTTTTTTTTTTTTTTTTTTTTTTTTTTTTTTTTTGGAAAAACGTTAGGCATATATTAAAACAAATCATTTTCCGCCAAAGCAAGGGAAAACGTTAAACATATATTAAAACAAATCATTTTCCGCCAAAGCTATAATGCTTTGGGGGAAAATGCCCATACAAACAAGCTCTGAGTTTTCGTATGTATTCCATCTAGCTACTAAATGAGCCATCATGTTGCCTACACGTTTAATATGAGAAATATTAACAAACTCTAAAGACAAAGAAAGCTGAGAAATCTCTTCGTAAAGCAGGTACAAGGGTGAGAAACCCTGCTGATTGCAGTCCACTCTCTTAGCAGCGTTGATGGAGTCAGTTTCAATCCAAATTCTCCTATACCCAAATCTGTGTGCAAGCTGTAAACCGTATCTAATTGTTGTTGTTTCGGCTTGCTCCACGTCCCATATTCCTTCATATTTTCGCACTGCAGCAAAGGTGATCTCTCCTCTGTGATTTCTGACCACGGCACCCAGCCCCACATAAGAAGTAGCAGCCAAATGCGCATCCACGTTTAGTTTCAGAACACCTCCAAGTGGGCATGACCAGTTTGTTGCTGACAGAATGGTTGTAGGACTTGGTGCTGCACACACTTTTCGCACATAGGAGCAATAATCACCAGCATTTTTAATAAAGCTGCTAGCAATTAATTTCGGGTTGAGGGTCTTGTTCTCAAATATCAGCTTATTTCTGCAGAACCAGATGGACCACATCATAGCTAGCATTTGCACAAAATTCTCTTTACCAAGCTTACTGGCCAACCACAACAGTTTGCTTTGAAGGAGGAGGCAGGAGCATCTTGCAGCAGTGGTGCATGTACATATCCATCCCAGACTTCCTTGGCAAAATGGCAATCAACAAAATATGGTTGACAGATTCAACCTCAATCCCACAACAATTATAGATTTCATCATATGCAATGTGACGATAGAACAGGACTTCCTTGACTGCCAGACTTCCTTTGCAAGCCTTCCACAAGAAGTGATTGAGCTTCGGTTGTCTATCATTGCGCCACACAATCGACCACACTTCTTTTTCATCATCAGACATGAAATTCTCTATGGAAGATAAGTGGCCAAGCCTTCCCAACCAATAGCCAGACCTGACACTATATTCTCCATCCTTAGATGGCCACCAGAACAAAGAGTTCTTTTTTTTTTTTTTCTGTAGATTGAAGTTGGCAATTGCAGAATTTTGTCGCAATCTTCACTCGTAAAAAGAGTTCTAAGCACTTGTGTGTTCCACTCTCCACTTTCAGGATAGAGGAGAGCAGCCACCTTTAAATCAGGATCAAAATGAGGGCTGTGTGATGGGACTGCAGTACTTGGCTTCCCTGGAAGCCATGAGTCAAGCCACACCCGGATGTGCTCACCATTTCCCACTCTCCATTTGAGACCTTCTAAAAGCAAAGATTTCGAACCCCACAAACTCCGCCACGAGTAGCTCGGATTATGACCTCTATAGGCCTCAAGAATCGACCCATTCTTAAAGTATCGACCTTTCAAGATGCTGTGAAGGAGCGAGTTCGGCCTTGTATGCAACCGCCAAATCTGTTTGGCCAAAAGGGCTTGATTAAACACTTTTAAGTCTCGAAAACCCATACCCTCCCATCGATTTTGGTTTACAAAGAGAATCCCAATTATGCCAATGCATCTTTCTCATTGTCTCATTTGATCCCCACCAAAATCGAGCTAACATTACATGAATTTCATCTAGTAACCCATCCGAAATTTTGAAGATGCTCAATAAGTTGGGATCACTTGGGCAAACGCCTTAATCATTACCTCCTTCCCGGGTCTTGAGAGCAATTTTTCTATCCACCCTTGTATCCTCTGCCATACCCTCAGTTTCAAGCTTGCAAAAATCACCTTTTTCGACTTGCCGATAATCGTTGGTAATCCAAGATACTTCTCATGTTGTTCCACTTCCTTCACCCCTAAGTTATCCACAATTTCATTTCTACGGTCAACATTAACACATTTGTTAAAGACGACATCGATTTTGTTCAGATTGACACTTTGACCGGATGCTCTCTCCTATTTGCTGATAATGTCAACTATCACCGAGCATTCACTAACCATAGCTCTAGCAAATAAAATGTTGTCGTCGACAAAGAACAAATGTGAAACTCTAGGGGCCCCATTACATATCTTTGCTCCATGTATTCTGTTATCAATTGCAGCCTTTGATATGAGGATAGAAAAAGCATCAGCGACCATAAGGAACAAATACGGTGAGATGGGATCTCCTTGTCGGAGACCACGAGATGGAAAAACTGATCCGGAAATGCCCCCATTTATCTTGAAAGAGAAAGATACAGTAGATAAACAGTTCAAAATCCTTCAAACCCAATTGTCATCGAAACCTATTTTATACATAACTCTTTCCAAGAAACCCTATTCGACTTTGTCATATGCTTTTCTCATGTCTAATTTCATAGCAATAGAACCAGTTTTACCTTCCCCTTTCCTCTTCATGGCATGGAAAATTTCAAAAGCAACCAAAGCATTATCCATTATTAACCTTTTCAGGATAAATGCACTGTGATTTATGGATATAATTTTATCAAAAAAAGGTTTTAACTTGTTTGCCATCACCTTTGAGATGATTTTATACAACACATTGCAACAACTAATTGGTCAGAATTCTGTCATACGTTTAGGATACTCGCATTTCGAAATTAAAACCACACAAGTTTTATTGACTTTACTCAAATCAACATTACCATGCCACCAGTTTTTTACAAAGCATACAATATCCTTTCCAACAATATGCCAAAATTTCTGAGAAAATAAAGCACGTATACCGTCGGGTCCCGGGGCCTTATTTGGATGCATTTGGAAAAGTGCATTTTTAATCTCCAAGTCTTCCGGCTCTGCATTAAGTACTACATTCATATCATCCGATACTACACGATCAAGACCCTCCATTGCTTCCTCAA